TGATTCATGCAGTGTTGCGCTGAGGGATACTGAGATGGTGGCAGGCCAGCCACCACATCCCTCAGAAGGGTGTGGAGGGAGGGCCTTGCTGCACTTCTGACTCTCAGAACTGGATGGGGTGGGCACCCTGGGTGTGGCACTTCTCTTCTGGACTGTAGGCTGACTTTATACTGGACCTGTCCTGACTGTGTACACGAAGGTCATCACATCAGAGCTAGGAGAGCTCCAACACCCTCCAGGAGGTAGAAAATGCTCTCAGAAATGTTCTCTATGATGACTCTTGACAGACACACAAGTTCATGTGGTAGGAAGAGACCAACTTGAGGGGATAGGATTATGGGTTAATGTTAATATCTTCCCTTTTCCCATCCATGTTTTCCAGTTTTCTGTTTTGTTTTGTTTTTTTCTTTCAATGAAAGAAAAAAAAATTTTAATGAGTTAAACAGACCTCCTCATGCCAGAGTGGGACTCCTATCCTTCCAGGCATCCTGAGGCACCCTAACCCTGACCTCGGGTCCCTGGAGAGCACTGGGCCAGCAGAGAGGAGTTGCCTGTCCTTTGAGGGGCCAGATTGGGGCAGGATGGTGCCTCGGTCTTCTCAGGCTTGTCTCAGCACCTGGACACCAAGTAAATGGTTCCTTACTTCAAAAACTGAGGAAAGCTAAAAGGTCAAGTTGGCCCCCACATTGACGGAGCTAGTGGCCTGCCTGTTTGAGACCTTGTTGGGCCACACCTGCCTCTTCCAGAGCAGGTTGAAATGCACAAATGGGAAATACCCACAGTTTGAAATAGAGAACATATTCTGTAAGGTAACAGGCCATGGTCACCAATAGTCTGGGAAAGAGATTTTGTTTTTTCTTTTTTGTAGTTGAAGTAACATAGCATTGCAGCATACAAGTTTCAGGTGTTTGTAGTTGAGAATCAATAGGTATATACTAAATGAAGTCCACCGGGAGAAGAGTTTTCAGACCTATCATTAAAACTTTATTCAAGTTATCTGGCTTAGCAGGGGCTCTCATTTGAAATGGTATGACTTGATAATAATAACACCCCTTCCTCCCTGTAGCCCACCCCCTGCATACCTGTCCTTTATCTAGCGTGGACCTGCTGTGCCTGAAGCCTGTTGCTGGGTCACCACTGGGAATGTGACTCTGTTGTACTCCTGGTGGGAATATGGTTTATAAGCTCCTTTTTCATGCATTTCCCCCCTGACTGTTCTATAAAGTCCCCCCCCCCCCCGCCTCATTTTACTAAAGCAGAAACCAAAGTTTAGCTGTGTTTCAAGGCTTCCCAGAAATCACACATCAGCAAATGGAGCAGAAGGACACAGCACCCTGAGTCTCTCTACTGGGCTTCCTCAGGCCTAGCTACCCTCTTTAGGCACAGGCTTCACTCCCTTAGTGCCAGGGCACAGGCAGGTGTTTGTGGAGACTGTTTGATTGTCTTTCACTTGAACTTAACTCAGTTTCAGAGGGGCTGAAGCTCTGAAGAAAAGTCTCTTGGGCTTTTGAGCTCTTACTTTCTGTGTAAGTGCTTCAAGCCAAAATCTCCCTTTTCCTAGGGGAGTGAGCCAAGTATCAGCGTGGTACTGCCATGTCTTAGAAAAGCTGCTGCTGACATTCTTCTAGAAATCTCCATTCAGTCACCTTAAAACATGGCAGCCTGGTTCTCCCTTTTTTAAAATATATATATATATTTATATTTTATTTTATATATTTTTTACATCATTTTTCATTTTTTGCACAATGTATGCATTTTCATCTTGGTTATAGTCCCCATACAATTCCCACCCCCCTTGTTTTGACCCTAATCGCTCCTCCTACCCCACCCCCCCAGTGTGTCTCTGTTTTACAGTTGCTTGTTGATTTTGATTTTTACTTTGCTGTGGTCAGGAAACCCATGGTTATGACTTTCTTGTATTTACTGCAGGCATCAGGTAAAATAGCTCATCCTTTGAGACATGATCTCCTAGGACATCCTACGTGCCTAAGGAAGCCCAAGGAAAGCTCTTTCCCAGAGGTTCTCCAGAGGTTGTCTTTTGTTAAAATATTGTGATGCAATTTGTTTTTGTTTTTTTATTTTCGATATAAAATTGGTTTTGTTTAAATTTCTGGGGGCAAAAGAATAACAAGAAAAATAGTCAAAGTAGTCATTCAGTGTATAGAATATTCACATTGGGCTAGACAGCATTAAATGCATAACCTCCTAGTTCGTTACCAGATTTACTTTTTTCCAACCAGAGGGTTCAGAGTCCCCGAATCGTTTTGCTCTTGACATTATTTGGGCTTCACTGCTGGATACTTAAAACGCCAGATGCTATTATCTGTGGCAGTCAGCAGTCAAGTGCCAGCTGCGCCTCTAGGGTCTTGTTTCCCAGCCTGGGCAGTGCCAGTGCCAGGCTTCGTGCTTGAGCTGGGCTTGCAGTCGGCCACCTGCGTGCTGCCTGTGCTGCCTGCGCTGCAGGGCAGCCGAGTGGCCTCTGGTGTATCTGGCAGATCTTCATCTCTTCAAGGGGTTGCTTCCCCTGGCCTCAGTGACACCCTTTAGGGTCACTCACTGGGAAAATGTGGCTAGTGGGGAGGTCAGCAGTGATACTTGCCCAGGTTCCTCCTTTCTAGACAAGGGTGTGCCCACCAGTCTTTCAGATTAAGGGGAATGCCCTCTGGACTAGGGGTGGCTTTTCTCCAATCTGTAAATTATGTAGTGTGGGGCTTTGAGGCTCTGCAGGGGAAGCTCACATTGGGGGCTTGGGACCTTCAACTTGAGTTTCGCTCAGGTGATTGGGGATGTCAGGGCCTGGAAGTCTCTACGAGATTGGAGTCTGGTTTCCTGATGGGGGAACCATGCAGGGTATCGCCTGCCTGTATCTATATGTTTGAGACCTTTAGAACTAACTTACTTTTCTCAGGACATTCCCTGAGAAAATAAGAGTGTTTGCTATTGGCATTCTCCTCCAGCTATTAGGATCACACTGCCATGGCAGGGCCCACTGTCAGAGTCCCTGGGCTGACCCCTGGGCCTTCTGTCTTCCCACCTTAGTTTCCTAAATATTCATCTTGGGCTTCAACCTTGGCCTGTGACTCTTTCCTGATCTGCCTGCCTCCAGCCTTGTTTCCTGGATGTCCTGAAATAACTTCTCCTGAATGCAAACCTTGCTCCTTTCTAGTAGGCTCCTTGCCTGTGAGACAGAATCCAGATCCCTAGGGCCTGTGTAAACTTGGACCTGCTCCAGTCTCACTTCCCTCCTGACAAGTGAGGCTTTAGTGCCCATCCTTGCCGCTCCCCTTCCTGAGTCCCTCACTTTTCCCAGCCCTTGCCTTCTCCTTACCCAGTGGTGTTTGGTCCAGGTTTCTTCTTCAAAAGCTTTTCCCTGGAGTTGTGGCTGGAGTTGCTTCCACGGCACCAGACATATCTCAGGTTCCCTCTGTGTATGACTCTGCTGCGTGGCTGCCTTGTGTCTGGTCCTTCTACTTTTCTCTGGCACTTCCATTTCTAACTTACTTTTCCAGGCCCAGCAGTTTGCAGACTGCAGGGTATATAGTAGGTGCATGTCACTTAGACCTGTCAGCCCTGAGTAGAGCTATGGGCATCTGCAACAGTGGTGGTGTTGGTTTTTGCACTTACCTGTGGGCATATGTGATTGATTAGACCCCACCACCACTGAGAGACTTGGGAAGCCGTTCTTGAAGCTGTTGTGAGGCCCTCCCTGTTGGTTGAGTCAGCCAGGCGTGAGCAATGAGGAGTGTTCTAGTAACCAGGCACTGGAGGGGCTAATGCCAAAACAGCACTGTGTACAGAGCCTCATGAGTCCCCTGTGGTTGAGACCTGGTAGTTAGGCAGAGAGAATGTTGTTCCTGAAGGACTCCACAGTTGACAGTGAAAGTGACTCCTAGGTTTGTTTTGGCAGGACAAGTTTCATTTTCGGTGATTAAGCTTCCCAAACAGTTACAAAATGGAGCATACATAGTAGTTCTGTAATTTGAGGCTTTACGAACATTGTTCCAGCGTTGCATGCTTTTTGGCTGAGAGCCAGAGAGTAGAGGGCTCATCTCTTAACCAGAAACGCTGCTCTTTTAGCCTGATGGGTGAGGACAGTGGTGCGGGGCAGAGAGTCTGCCGGATATGCAGTGCTGTCCACAGAGAGGTATGTCTCGGGTGCCACCCTGCCTGACTTTTCATTCCTGTGGGAGCAGGAGAAAGACCACCTTGGGTGTCTCTTTAGGTGTTCTGTTCAGGGAGGGCTTGAGGTCTGGAGTTCTCCTGTGATTCGGGCCTTTACCCGGTGCCAGGCGAGTTCCAAGTGCTTTGCAGTTTAATCTTCGCAGCGAGGCTATGAGGGAGGATGATTATTATTCCCATTTCACAGATGAAACAAAGGCAAGTGAAACTGCTTGGCCAACAACATGTGGTGGAAAGGAGCTGAGCTGGGGTGCAAGTCCAGGCCACCTGGCTCCAGGGACCTTGTTCGTTCTGACCATAGTGCCTGTTACCTAAGCGTGGAATTAACCTACAGCCAGACCTGACACAAACAGGGTGTTCGTTCAGCCCCACAATCGTTTATTTATTTTTCATGATAGCTATCGGCCCTAAAGGTCAGGAGGTGGCACATCACACATCAAATTTTCCAGTTTTCCTTCACAGGCAGGTAGCTCCGAGGGTTCTAACCCAGATCCATGGGGATCCTGGAGGTAAAGGAACTTGCCTCAGGCCACCATGTTTAGGAGATGCTTCTGTGCAATGCCTGGCTCTGGGGATGTTTGCTAGACCCTCTACCAGACGGGAGTCTGGATTATTCCATATCAGTGAGTACTGGCCTGTTCTGCTGCCCCCCTCCTTGCTCTCCTGCTCTCTTGTTCCTTCCTGGGCCTCCCTGGTCTTTGCCTCACCACTGTGGGCAAAGCACTGACTATGGGAGCAAGCCCTGATCTTTGGAGTTTACTGCCTGTGGTCTTGATGAAATACAAAGTATAAAGTACAGACTGGTAGATTTGATGTTGAGTCTTTAACAAATTTATTTTCGTGCCTTAAGATTTCACAATACCCAGGATACTTTCTAGTCTTCGAGTATTTGCACATGTGTGTTGCACTGGCATGCAGTGAGCGCCCATTGACACGTGACTGCTGATGGTAAGGCTCCCAGGCAAGATGAGTTTAGCACTGCTGGTCTGGCAAGAGGATCTTGAAACCCAGAAGTAAATGCCCATCACGCAGAGATCTAGAAATTCTAGTTCCTAGTTCCAAGTGCTTTTCTTTTTTCTTTCAGTTTTACTTCCTGTGATTTGGGGAAAATAGAGACAGCACAGTTCTTATCTGACAATTTAATGGAAAACTATGAAGTTATGGCTCTTTAAAAGTAATTTAAAAGATGGTGTTTGAGCATGGAGACTCCATGGAGTTTGGTGGGGAGGGGCACGGTGTGGGACATGGTCAGAGTTAAGATTTGTTGTACATAGCTTTAGATTATTTCACTTGTTATTTCTTTGTGCACCAAAATATTTAATAAAATTTAATGCAGTTATATTCGGTAGTGATTATAAGGGTTGATTAGAATTATAGAATTATAGAATTATAATTATAATTATAGAATTATACTCTCACAGAATACTCTCAGAAGCATTTTGTGGCTAGAGCATCATGGGGTGTGACTTCTTTGGCCCTCCAGGAGGGACATACATTTGTCAGAACTCCCCAGGGAGCATCTGGCTGGGTTGATGAATTCCGTGACAAAGCCAGGCTGCCTTCTCCTACTGCTTCCCCTCCTGGGGCCACAGGGCCCACAAGGATAGTCTTCAGGAGAGACCAGAGTGTCACTCTAAGACCTCTGCAGCGTTGGGGCTGCCAGGTGTTCACATGAGGAGGACCATCCTATTCAATGGAAATACAGTGTGAGCCGTGTGTGCAACTTAAATTTAAAAAGTGCACGTTCAAAATGCAAACAAGAAACAAATGGAATTAATGTTATATTTTATTTAACCCAATTTATTGAAAATGCTATTATTCCAACATGCAATTAGTATAAAGATTTACAGATACTTTACAGTCCTTTTTTTTTTTTTTTGGTCATACTAAGTCTTCAAAACCTGGTGTGTTCTTCTACTTGTGCACACCTCAGTTCATACCAGCCCCATTTCAAGTGCCCAGGACAGCACGTGGCTGACGGCCAGTGTGTTGGACAGCACAGGAAGGGCCTTTTCTGTGTCAGGAAGGAAAGATGTCTGTGCAGAGATCAGCTTCTGAGAGGCTGTCCTGCCCAGTCCAGCTCTAGCGTGTGGACCTCCTTCCTACAAAACATTGGCAATAAATGTCTGTCTAGTTTGAGGGGGAAGAACAGGAAACCCCTAAACCAGATTGTTAATGACCTGGTTTTCTCCGGATCGTGATTTTTGTCTTTTATCTCAGCTGTGCTCAGACTTTTCTCTATTGTGCTTAAGTTTACCATCAAAATTATTTTATATATAGACACATATTTCAATAAAAAGAAAGCAGACTGAAGGGGCATGCGCTCCCTGCCTATCTCCCACCCAGTATCCTTGAGCCACTAGACCTTTCATGTCAGTGTGGTGGTTTCTGATTTGCTTCACTGAGGTAGGAGGTTCTCCTGTGAAGGTGCTTCTCTCAGTCAGTCGCCCACGCCAGCACTCCCCTTATTAAGGTATTGTGTGAATGCTTCTCTTGTGCTGAAAACATTGTGACTAGTGAGTGGAAATATTGTGACAAGTCAGAGAATTTAGAGTTGCTATGGGAACTTCCCCATTCATTGTCCTAAGTAAGGGGGCTTAGTCCGAGGTGCTGCTGCAGACCAGCCTATTGCCTTTGATTCAGCTCATTTTTGGCCCTGTCCCCTGAGAAACTTGAGGCAAGGCTCTGGCCAGTCAGGGTATCTCAGCTTACTTATTTTGCCTTTGGAGATGGTGGGATGAGAGTGAAACTTAGGGGGGTGGGGCATGGGAGGGTGTCAGGAGGTTTTCACAAGTGACACTTGATTGTTGGCAGATGGCTCTAATGTCCCAGGAAGTCGCTGTACTGGCAGGTGCAAGAACCCAGCCCAGCCTTCCTTCCCCTAAACCCTGTCCTAACCCCATCCTGGAAGAACAGGAAACAGGGTGTTTGAACCTGGATGCCCATGGGAAGCAGCCTCCTGCAATCAGAGACCATAGAAGAGCCGCCTTGGAAACAGGAGCCCATTTGCTTTCCATCCTTCTCCTATGCGGGTCGGGGAGGGGAGAACACTGAACTCACTTGTCAGTCAGCACCCTTGCGGCCACAGGGACAGGTCACAGGCAGGTGGAGATCCAAGCCAAGCTGTCAGGGCAAGAACTGAACCACATATATTGCTGGAAAAAGAGGGAAATTAAAAATGACCAATGGAAAAAGTATGCACTGCTTAATTCTGCTCATGTTGATGATTATTTTGATAACACAAAAGGAGAGACATCTCCCCCAACCCAGAAAACTAAGCCTTTATTTACTTCAGGACCTTACCCCTCAGCTGTCTTGGGTCATTTAGGGGGCAGGTGTGGGGCCAAGGTGTCATCCATGTCACAGTAAGTGCTCTGACAGAGCTCGAGGTAGCCTGGGCAGCTTGCCAAGGATCCCAGGCAGCTAGATAGAGCCCTTGGCTCTGACTGCATCTGCTGCTTCGGGGTGTTACAGGCTTGGCTGCTGGTGTTTTGAGTGGTGTTCCTACTCCTTCCCTGCGCAGGACTCCTGGACTCCGACAGCTCTCTCTGCCTCCCCTACCAGACCCTGGTCTCCACGGTGGGAAGCATGGTGTTCAACGAGGGTGAGGCCCTGCGGCTCATTGAGATCCTCTCGGACAAGGCTGGCGTCATTCAGGACACCTGGCACAAGGTGGGCTGCCCTATCCCCGCCACACTCAGTGGCCACTGTGTCTGGCCAAGGCAGTTTTGCCCTCCTGCCTTTCCTTCTTTGGCTGGTGAGTTGCAGTGGTTGCCTGGGCTGGAGCCCTGGCCTCTGCTGGGAACTGCCCACTGACTGCCACTCTTGGCCTGCCAAGCTGCACGTGTTTCAGAAAACAACCTCCATGCTGCCTTCTCTCCACTCACCTGCCCAGACTCAGACTGCATTAGTCTCGTGCCAATGCGTTGCTTCTGCCGCAGCTCACCTGCTCCTGAAACACAAAGGCCATCAAAGACCAGGACAGGGTTCTGTGCTGCAGGAACCTGGGAGTAGATCACAGGAGCTGGGGCCCTGCTGGTCTGTGGCCAGAGCTAAGAGTACAGGAAGGAACATGCAGGGAACCCTATAATGTATCTGCAGTGCCTTACTCTGATTTTCCTCCTGCTTTTTGCACCAATTCAGAGGCTGGCACCCACGTTTGTTTTGGAATAGTCAGTCATTTTGCTGGAGAATTTTGTGGTACCTTAATGATTAGAATGTTTGGGGATTCTGAGAGCTAGGCTGATGGCCCCTAAAGCCAGGAGAGCCTACTTCCCTCCTGCCCTCACTGAGGGTAATGTGAACTCCCTGCTTTGTGAAACCTGAGGGATTTTTATGGGTGTAGGTGATTGAAGAGGGTCAGGATGACCACTCCTTCGAGAAGAGAGATCCAGGCTCACCTCAGGCCACTTTTCCCAGGAAATACTTTTCCTGAGTGGCCTGCAACCTGCATAAATAGACTGAGGAAATGGACCTCATCCAGAAACAATGGCCAAGTACCTCTCAGGAGGGCAGGGAGAGGCCCTTGCTACCATTGACCAGCTTAGTATGAAACTCCACGCTTCTAGAGAGCTAAAGCTTTTGGCCACTATACACACCAGGCATGGAGTCTGCCCGGCAGAGTCGGTGGCCAAGAACTTGGTTGCTACTGTCACTGGTCAGGGTCTGATCACTCTGATGAAGGCAGCAGACCAATTGTGTACCCCCTCTGTTAATGCAGCTCTGTTGGGCATTTTTAGGCCACTCAGAAGGGAGACCCTGTGGCGATTCTGAAACGCCAGCTGGAAGAGAAGGAGAAACTACTGGCCACAGAGCAGGAAGACGCCGCTGTCGCCAAGAGCAAATTGAGGGAGCTCAATAAGGTATAACTGAGACATCGTCCTGTCCTGAGACCATGCTCCCCGACATGTACCTTGGGCAGGGGGATTGTAGCCAGTGCCATCCGGCATGTGGGTTCAGCTTGCTCGCTGCCACTGCTCGCTCTGGCTGCCTGAATGAAGACTCTGAGGCTCTGCTTGGATGTTAAGTGGGGGGTTAGGGTCCTTCATTATGAGGAGGATGGACCAGAATATCACTGAGTGGTCCCTTCATGATGGACTGTCTTTTTAGGGTACATGCCTAAAAAGGAGGATGAACTCATTGATTCTCAATTCCTGAGAATTGAAGCAGAAACCCCTGGGTAGGGGATTAGAGATGGAGGGACTAGAGATGGAGGGACATCACTTCTCTGATGTCAGTGGCACCTTCCTGCGGGAAGTACTCCTTGCTCCTACTATCATCTGATGGGCTAGCACTGGACATTTGTCCTCAGAGAATGGATGAACCTTTGGATGGTTGTTACTCTAGGTTCATGCTCAGCGCAAGAGAAGAGAAAAGCAGGTCCCCATGCCTTCCCAAGAGCTTAGTAGCCTTTTGTCCAGCGGGCCTTTGTCCTCTCTCAGGATGGGCCATACTTGGCCTTCACAAGCTGCATCCTGGGTTGAGCATTAGATGTGGCAGTGGCTAGAGCCACTCCCCTGCTCCTGGCTGCGCATGTGCTGTCTCTTTCTGTCTTGGCAGTAGTGTGACAGGGGCCGTGGGTGCTTACAATGTGGGAATGGACCAGCACCACAGTTCAGCTCCCCTCCCCCGAGCTCGCTGACAGCATAGCATTGCTCGGGAATCTGTTGTTTCAGGGAGTCATTCTTATGTAACTGCTTCCTGAGCAGAGAAGTCCCCGTGAACATCTGTCGACCCCCAAATGAAGCCCAAGGGAGAGGAAATGGGAGTCAGCATAGTCATGGTGGGGGTCAGGTGGCTGCCTGGCTAGTTCCCTGTGCCTGCCCCCTTGAATTTAGGATGGGCCGGGGGTGTGGTGAGTGAATAGGTACAAACTCAGACAGTGACAGGGCCTGTCTCTTCCCCACTTCAGGTCCTGCAACCAGTGTGGCCAGGGAGGCAGGTGCAGGAGAGGGAGTGCATCCTGTCAGAGGAGGCCCTTAGATGCTGCCCCTTATGCTGGGCACTTACTGCTCTTCCTCAGCGGTGGCCACATGAAGTGCTCTCCAAAACCATAGGCAGCGGACCCAGGATACCATCCCAGGTCCAGGAGCCATTCCAACCTCTCATTGCTGGAGGTTGTGAGTTACCCAGGGCCTGTCTGGCTTACCATATCCTCCCCCGTGAAGCCCAAGGAGATCCTCTTGGGCTCACTGAGTCCAGTTACCAGTGTGTTAGCTCCAGAGGCTTTTGGTCTTCAGACCTAAGTCTGAATCCCTCTACTCCACTTCACCCACTGACAAGCCATGCCCTTTATCCTCTGGCCTGCCTGCTATTTGTTAGCCTCAGCTGCCCTTCGCTGCTTGACTGGCTGGAAGTATTCTCCTTATCCTGGAAGACTCAGTTTGATCTTCCTCTCCTGGGAAATGTTCTGGAGCTCCCATTTTCCTGCCCAGCAAGGGGTTGTCATTGCAGTATACATCTGTATCTGTCACCTGCACCCTGGCCACATTTTGTCCCTGCCTAGCTGGTTATCTGTGAGCAGTGGCCACTGAGCCCCAAAACTGACTAAGAGGAAGTTTTTGATAACTTGTGCAGCTGCCTTCATTCCTCCCTGTGCTCCTGGAATCCCTGCCGCTGGGTCCCTGCAGGTGTCTCTCGAGAGTTTGAGTAGAGCTGGCACGTTGACTTTATTTCGAGTCTTGTCTCCTAGCCCGGCACTGTTGAGGAAGGTTATGTGAGAAACTAAATTATTGAGTTTGTGAAAGTTCCTCTAATTTAATCCCCACATGAGCAGGTGACATTGAGAGAATCTGCATTTTGTGCTCTAGTTCCCTCCACATGTTTGGGTTTTTTTTTTGTCCTTATAGTTTTATAGTAGCCAAAGAGGGTTTTGATGGATTTTCTTGGGGTCTTTGGCAGAGGCACAGACACAGGGAACATGTCGATCAGCTGCTGGATCTCAGCCTCAGACTGGGTTGGGTGAAAAGACCATTCCAGGCACCAGTTGCAGGAGTTGCTGGGCTGGGGCACCCTGAGAGCTCCATTTGGCCTCTTGAGAGTCTTCGTGCATGAGGAATTCAGACAGAACCTGGGGGCGTAGCCAGAAAGGTGCAGCCCTTGTGGGAAAACCATCTTTCCAGTTGTCTTCCCAGGCTCCAGGGCCCTATCTCCAAGGGGCTATGTCCTGAGGAGATTATTCTGGGAAATCAAGCTCTGACTCCTTGTGCTCAAGGAGTCCAAGACTTATCATATTCCTGAATACTGGATAAGCTGACCTTTCCTGCTTTTTAAGAGGCCCGGGGCCCAATGGAGGATTACCTCTCATCTCCTGGTTCTGGGACCCTTGTGGGCTCGCACAGCCTACATTAAGCCCCCTCCTGCTACATATAACAGTTACCCAGCTTTGGATGGCATATTTTACCTAAGGTTCAATGCACTGAACTTTAAAATGGGGATCATGGCCTTTGTCTTACTGAGAAAATTGAATGAGACACATGCTTATCTCCATGTAGACTATACTGTCAACCACCCCTCCCATTTCTGTAGCTGCTCAATGATGCCTTCCCCAGCGTGCCCTTCATGCTCCTGTGGCCTCACCCAGGCAGAGCCGGGAAGATGATTGCCTTTAAAAAGTAGGACCAGGGCCTCCCTGGTGGCGCAGCGGTTGAGCGCTGGGTTGCGAAGCTTCCCGCAGCCTCTGCAGCACTGGTTCGATCCCCGGCTGCTCCCCGGCCACCGGAGGAGGGTCCCACATGGCGCGCAGACCTCTCCTGCCACCCGCTGCTCCCCTCAGCAGTGTACTTCGGTCCTTCTGCCTGCTCTGCATCCTGCTCTGGCTCTGGTGAATTCTCTCACCCTCCCGCGCTTCTGACTGTACCCAGTGCTTGTATAAATAAATAAATAAATAAATAAATCTTTTTTTTTTTTTTTTTTAATAAATAAATAATAAAAAGTAGAGCCAGTGGGTCCCAGGTACCCAGACACATAGAGCAGCTCTGGTACCAAGTGGTCACCCCGATCACCCCAAGCCCTTCTTCTGGCTTCTGATTTGAATGGACGCTCTTACCCTTTCAGATGGGCCACCCTGATAGCCCTGGCTGGGGAAAGGTGAGGACTTCCCACTTATCTGTTCCAATGCCCAAGACAGGAACAGACAAGGCCTTGTATCCTGTGGGACACTGGCACTGTGGTTACCCCAGCGAGCTGGGCCAACATCAGGCAGCTTCCATTCTGGCTGGAGGCCCTCTGGGCATGGAACACTCACCCTAGCAGCCAGGTGACCTCCCCGTCCTCTCACTGTCACCTGTGCTTCCCCATGGCCTCCATCCATTGCCATTCCTCTGGGATAGCAGATCCCAGTGAGCACCTGTCCCTCTGCCAGTCCTGCCCACCCTGCACTCTGTCCCTGCCTGAGGCTCCAGGTCTCTAGGCCTGCATCACAGGTTCATCATGGGCATCCACTACTAACCAGGGCAGACCTTCTCTGGCCTGGACAGGGAAGACAGAGTGACTGCCCCCAAGAGCCAGACCCTCCAGAAGTGGGGCTGACCCCTGAGCTACAGTGAGTTGAGCAGCAGTCTGTGTCCCTACCCAGCCATCGAGGTTCGCTCTCTTGTTGGTCTGACACAGGCATTATGTAGAGGAGCATTCCTGGATGTCAGTGATGGAGCCAAGCTGGGTATTGTAACACCAGCAAGCTTAAACCATGTGCCTGGAGAGCGTGCTGTGTTCACGCAGCACATGCCTGTCTGCCACTCCACTGTGTCTAAGACCCCACATGGAGCCCTCCACCTGTTAGACTACAGTGTTTTCCAGGGGCCCCTCACTGTCCTGCTCGCACTCTGCTGCGGCTGGCTTGGGTAACCATACAATCTTGGCCAGTGAGAGGGCTCTCTGACTCTGCTTTTAGCTCCTCTCAGCCCCCAGTGATGCCCTGGGTTGTCCTGATCTTGTTCCCATCTGATAAGTCCCCATCCTTACCTGCCTAACCAGCCTCTCTTCACTCTGCCTTTTTGCCAGGAACTGGCAGCGGAAAAGGCCAAAGCAGCAGCTGGGGAGGCCAAGGTCAAAAAGCAGCTCGTGGCCCGGGAACAGGAGATCACCGCTGTGCAAGCGCGCATGCAGGCCAGCTACCGGGAGCATGTGAAGGAGGTGCAGCAGCTGCAGGGCAAGGTGAGAAGCGACTTTGGGTGCATGGGAGGGTTGGAGTAGTCCCCAGAGGGTAGTTGAGGATGCCCACAGGTAGGTGGGGGGCTGCAGGATTTGGTCTGTTCTGTAGGGTATCTGATCAGTTGGCATCAGGCAGCCTGTTGTATGTGCTTAATGTAAAATACTTTTTTTAAAAACAGCCTTGTTCCAACTGACCAGCCCTGTGGCCTTGCCTAGATGTCCCTGTGACCCTGGAGACACTCAGTGTGGATTTCCAGGCCTGCACTAGTCAGAGCCCTCTGCTTGATCTAGAACCTGCAGTCTGTGTGGTGGGCTGTGCTGCAGGAGCTCGGGCACAGGAAGCAAAGCTTCCTTGGGATGGAGCCTTCGGCCTGTGGCATATGCTTTGTCTCAGAACAGTCCTCCCAGGGACCTGCAGGCGGGGTGTACAGAGTATATCTGGGACTCTGGGCTGGACGCGCAGCCGTCCAGCGCCAGTAAAAACCTGAGGCAGGAGAGAGAGAAGAGGCATAGGGTGGCAGGTCACCTTGGGTTCTAAGCCCCCCTACTGGAGCTGTGCAGTTTTCAGGGGTCCTCCCCAACATGTGGAGAAGGCGGAGGCCTTGGGAGTTTTGTCTGCAGATTGTGTCCTCACTCACCGGAAATTGGCTCTTTGTACAGCTAAGCAACTCTAATGCCCGTCAATGACTTTGCAGATCCGGACTCTTCAGGAGCAGCTGGAGAATGGCCCTAACACACAGCTGGCTCGTCTACAGCAGGAGAACACCATCCTGAGGGATGCCTTGAACCAGGCCACAAGCCAGGTGGAAAGCAAGTAAGTTTTACGCTCTGGTAGGACCCTGTGACGGCGCGTCCTTGGGTGTCTGGAGCTGGGGGCGGGTCCCTGAGCTTCTTGAGAGGCTGCAGTGGGCGCAGTCTATTTTCCTGCTGGATCTGGGGCAGGTGTGTCAGCCTTCACAGGCCCACGTGTACATACAGAGATGACTGAGCTTCCTCACCCTCCCCGTTAGGGCACTTTCCTCATCTGCCATCTGGGCGGCTGAGCTGCCGTCACAGGTCTTCTCACATGGTCAAGGCCCCAGGGAGAGTAGAGGGAGTGATGTCTTCTGTGTTGGCAGGGAGATTTTACTTCTGAGTTCTGCCTGTCTGTGTTGCCTCTCAGTGGCTGAAGTGCTAGAAAGTCCACCGTGAATGGGCTGACCTGATTCCCTGGTTTGAGCATCAGTCTCAGCAGGCAGCCCCATTGCATTTTCTTCTGACTTACATTTCTTTGGCTTCTGTTGGCCTGGAGCATCCTGAAGGTGCATTCCAGAGGACGTTGTTCTGGGGTTCTGTGTTATTACCAAGAAGAAAACTGACTAAGGGCAGAGAGCACCACTACCCCAAGTCCTTTAGCTGGAAGTCAGGTGGGGAGAATGTCAACCCAGGAGCTGGACCTTTGAAGAAAATCTGTGCCTGAAAGTCGGCTTTTGCTGGCACATAGTGAGATCCAAAGGCCGCTATTCCCAGGCCTGTGCCTTCTGTCTGGAGGTCTCTAGAGTGTATATGCACATCTTCATCTCTCTCTCACTGGTTGGTAGGTTAGAGGCTTGTGGCTGCATTTTTTTCAGCAGCCACAAGCAGAAGGCAAACACAGGTATGGAACACTCTGGCTCCCTCCCTCATAAAATCCGCCTTGGCCTCCACCACGGGAAGGCATGAAAGACTGGAGACTTCTCACCTGGAGGTAGCAGTCAGTCTCTGTGGAAGCTCCGCTCTTATGAGGTGGATGCTCCCAGGCCACTCCCAAAACTCCAAATCAGCCCCAAGGGCCCACACCCGCCCCTGACCTCAGTTCTCCAACCCAGGGTGCTGTAGTCTAGCTTCTTTATTATACTCTTCGGTCCTGAATCTTGGCCTCATAAGGTGTGTGAGCTGATGACCCACGGAGGGCTTTTGACCTCCCTGGTATAGATGAGGAACCCAAGTCCAAAGAGGTGAGAACCCGCCCACCCCCAGTCAGCGGAGCAGAGCTGGTCTTGGCCAGGTCTCCCGTCTGGCCTGATACTCCCCCAGGTCATCTGTCCCCTTGGTCTTGTCTGGTACTGCCCCTTGGCTGGACAGTCAGTCCTGCCTTGAAGTATGTTTTATGCATCCTGATTAAGCTCCACATGTTGGATAAAGCAGGTTTTGACCATCCTCTCCCTGCCAACCAGTCTTCCCTAACTCCCTGCTTCTGAGGCCAAGCTTCTGAAGTGCAATGTGGAGGGGCACTTTGTAAAGTGCCTCAGCCTTATTCTTCAGGCAACCCCCTGTTCTGGGTCTAGTTAGCTAGCCATGGACTCAGAAAGGCAGTCTCTGGCCTTGCAGAAGGGTCAAAGCAAATCAGCCCACATCCCAGAGCTTGTGTGGACACAGATCAACAATGAGAAGATGAGTATCTTGCTTTTTCTCTCTCTGAATTTGCAGCCATTTCTGAGAGGGCCTTCTCTGTCTGGGGCTTCTCTGTCTCTCCTACACATTTTGCTCTTTGCTCTCTGGCCCATGTCCCTTGCCAATAAAACAGTGTTTTCGACAAAACACTCATCAAATTCCACATGACCGCTAAAGCAAGAGGGCTTTGGTAATGATGATGAGATTTGGGTAACTATTGAAAGAGCAGGCACCTAGAGGGAAGGCTTAGACTGCTGGTCCCATCTCCTGGGCTAGCTGGGTGCCTGAGAGAACTGATCAGCACCCTCTTCTGTCTGCCAATGGGGTGCTGGTAACTGTCTTGCAGGCAGAATGCGGAGCTGGCCAAGCTCCGGCAGGAGCTCAGCAAGGTCAGCAAGGAGCTGGTGGAGAAGTCAGAGTCTGCCCGGCAGGAGGAACAGCAGCGGAAGACTCTGGAGGCCAAGGCATCTGCCTTTGAGAAGCAGGTCCTACAGCTGCAGGTGAGTGGGTGATCGCCACCTCAAGGCCCGCTTACCCTGCCTTCAAGCCTATCTGCGTAGCAGGGACAGGCTGGGGCTCACCTAGCCACCCTGGGTCATCCCTTCCCAGCCATGACCGTGGTGCACACAGGACTGGGGCTGACACCCTCAGCCTTGGTCTTGTTAATAGCAGTGATAGCCAGGTGGCATCGCATGGGCATTTTCCATGTGCTGAGCATTGTTCTAAGTGATTTATAAGTACTCAGCTAGTTCTCATTGTAACCCTATGAGGTATGTATGTTAGCATCTGTAATGTACCCAGAAGGGAATTTGGGGCACAGAGCATTGAATTGAATATCCCACATTCACAGGAAGATTTGAGCCCCTAGGTCTAACTCCAGAGCTGGGTCTGTCCTCCCACACTTGCCACCACCTATTGTAGCACAACTCCAGCTGTAGCCAACCAAGTGGAGGCAGCCTCCAGCCTCCAGGCCAGGTGTGGGGTTCTTCCTTCTCAGCCTCTAGATGTGGCTCAGGAGGATACCTCTAGATGTGGCTTCAGAAGGAAGAAGATTGTCCCTAAGTAGGAAAAGTAGGAAACCTGAAGATCTGAAGGGCTTAGGACTTTGAGCCCTTTTCCTGTTCAGCTGTTGGGACCATCTAGATGTTTTGAGTATATACAAGGGCCTGAAAGAAAACAGGGAAGATTAAAACAGTTTAGATTGTTTGGGTGGAGTTGAGATGGATAAGCTGCTGTTTACCATTCATTGTTCATGTAAGCCACCTACCGAGACCAGTGAGATCAGAACCACCACGTTGCCCTGGCTATGCTTATATTTTAAAGACTGCATAGTTCTGATCCTCCCCTCTAGTACCCAGGTTGTCACCATCACATGTGCTATTTTAAGGACTAGCTCAAGACCAAGGCCTGAGCCTGGCTCTTACCACTAAGCCCCAGACCTCAAACATCTCCTGTTCTCTCAGACACCAGGTGCCTCATTCTCAATCCAGGGTCAGAGAACCTATTTATTCCCCTCTAAGACCAAAGATTCTGGGAGTAGCTGGCCAGGGTGGTGAGGAAGGCAAGTTATGCAACTGCCTTGTCACAGCTCCTGGTGTTAACAAGTGTCTGCTATTGGATTCCAGAGCTTCGGTTTCCCCAAGTGCAACCTGGACAGTAAGACCAGTCCTGTGGGGTGGCTGGGAATAAGCCACATTGACACAATATGCCTGGAACCCTGCCTTGCATAGAAAGAGAGCTCAGTGAACATGAACTTTACCAGGGCTCTTAGGAAGTCTCCAAGTTAGACTAAGGTGGAGGTTGTAAGAAGCATCTTTTGGTGTCACACTGACCTGGAAATGGGGCTTTTTCCTTTTTGTGATTGTTATTCCTTCACCTCAAGCACCTTCATGGTGATCCAGCTTTCCAAGGCCATGGCCTCCTGTCTTTTTGCAATGGATGAATGACTTTAGAAACCCAGGAGGTTTTATAAAAATAAAAAAGTTTTTTGAAAGAATATAAAGAGCTCTCTGTCCTTTTGAACCTCAGCATCCTGGCACCCTCACCACCCTCTCCCTTCTGCCTGCCTGCAGGTGTCTCACAAGGAGAGCGAGGAAGCCCTGCAGAAGCGCCTGGACGAGGTCAGCCGGGAGCTCTGCCGCTCACAGACCAGCCACGCCAGCCTCCGGGCAGATGCCGAGAAGGCCCAGGAGCAGCAGCAGCAGATGGCCGGTGAGACACCTGACTCCAGGCAGCTAGCAGAGTCTATGCAGGGTTAGGGCGCACACACCCCTTGCCCCACTGCCACTCACTAACCTTGGTGAGTGAGAGCATCATAGGATCTCTGACTCTGCCCCTCAAATTCTGTAAGGCAGGGATTGGATCCTTTCAGGGGAGGGACCAGAGGTCTATGAGGGTCAGGCCTGCAGCCTGCAAGTGGGCTGGGCTTGGGAGTGGAGCCTTGGAGGGAAGGGTGTGAGGGTGGGCCCTACAAGCAAGGGCTACTAGCTAGGGGGGATGAGGGATGGGTATGAGGTTGGAGCCTGTATGGGTAGGTGGGAGGAGTGAGTCTTGGGGATGGGGGGGGCAGGGCCTATTAGGACTCGGCTGGGGAGTAGAGGTGAGGGGTTCCCTTCTGAAACCACAGCTACAGGTGAGCTGAGGCCTTCTGCAGCTGTTGCTGGCTTTCTCAGCTGACTCCTTCTGGACCCTTATTCTCTCCCTGCTGGGTAAGCCCAAGTCACCGGGTTTGGCAGGTACGCCTGTGGTCCCAGTGCTCACAGGTCACCTTTACTGTGAAGAGAGGGTGGTGAAGTTGGGGACACTGATGGCCCACAGACCATGCCTGTGACCACTGGATGTACTTGCTCAACAGCACTCCCGAGTGTCCACAAGCTGAGCGCTATCTGGGCACCCAGGGCAGCAGGGCCACATTCTAGCAGAGACAGGCACAGTCAGGTAGGTAGACAGGCACTGGCAGGGTCACACAGCTCTGTGCTCCACAGACTTCAGATAGCCAATGTGACCCAGAGCAGGCTCAGCAAGCTCTTTCTGTGAAGGGCCAAGTAGTAAATATTTTTGGCTTTATGCGCCAGGCAGTATCTGTCACAACTGCTCAGCTCTGCTGCCATACTGAAGCGGCAGCTCTAGACCACATGTGAACAAACCCGCCTGGCTCTGTCCCAGCTTTCTTCACCCAAACAGACAGTGGCCCAGGGTGGCCCGCTCTAATGGACCAGGTGTGACTTTAGATTGGGTGGTCCTGAGGCAGAGGGTATGTTTGCGCTAAAGTCTGGATGATGGGAATGGGCAGGCCTCACAAAGAACAAGAAAAGAACCACCTGACACAGAGCCCTGAATTGGCCTGTATTAGAAACAGATACAGGCCAGTGAGTGTGACTCACTGGCAGGCAAGTGGCCAGGGGAGAGGATGTTGGGCGCTGTGTGAAGTGACTTGCGAATGCTTGCAGGTTTTTGGGGGCAGGTGAATGGCATGATCCCATTTGCATACCTGACTCTCTGGCCCTGCATAGAAAATGGACCAGAAGGGAAGTCCAGGTGACTAGGAATGAGACTTTTCTGGTTGCCAGGCTAAAAGCTGGGGTCCAGGTGTCCACAGGGTGCTGGTGAAGGGGAGGATTCAGCAGACAGTAGATGACAGATGGAGGCGAGAGGCAGGGCAGCAGGACTAGGGGACTGGGAGGTTGGGGGTGCTGGGCTTCGTACCTAAGCAGAGGTTTATTTGGAAGTGGCAGGTGGCTGAGCCTGGGTTTGGGGATGAGACCAGGCTGCGGGCTTTTCAGAGTCAGAGACTCTGATGACATTTAGAGCCATGGGACTTACCTCAGGTCACCAGAGAGGAGGACGCCCCAGGGGGAGAGGTGTCCAGGGACAGGCCCTGCCAACACTGAGAGGTGGGGAAGCTGTAGCCCAGTGGGGTCTACACAGTCACTTTCTAAAGACTTTCTGGTTACATCTCCCCTGCTCTTGCTAATGTGAGCCAATCTTTAGAGAAGAAATTCATAGACACTCCAACTGATCCATTTTAGGTTTCTGTCATTTCCCCCTGATCTGCAGGCTTGCCATTCCACCCTAGTTAGTCCTGGAGAACAAAAAATAGGGTGTGACTTTCTGATAGCCCCCGGCACACAGTGGAGGCAGGGGAGTGAGCCTTCAAAGGCCTGTGTGCAGAGGGACAGTGGTAGGGGTGTCTATCCCAGAGTCTCCTGCCCCTGACCTGCTCTTGCCACCCCCTTCTGCCACAGAGCTGCACAGCAAACTGCAGTCCTCCGAGGCTGAGGTGAAGAACAAGTGCCAGGAGCTGAGTGGTCTACATGGGCAGCTCAAGGAGGCCAGGGCTGAGAACTCACAGCTCACAGAAAGAATCCGGTCTATTGAGACCCTCTTGGAGGCAGGCCAGGCCCGGGATTCCCAGGTCAGCAGGCGGCTGGAGGGGAGAGAGAATGCTATCCTGCGAGTGGGACCCGCCCTGAAGAGCTATGCCTGAGAGCTGGCTCATGGTAACCAAGTTTTCTGTCTCCTTCCAGGCCAGCCAAGCGGAGACTGATAAGCAGCAGGCCCGGTAAGTGGAGCTAGGGCACTGGGGCCTCAGAAAAGGTAGCACAGGACCCTGAAGTTGGGGCTTCAGCAAGGGGAGGAGTCCCTTTCAGAGATCCCTGCCTTCCCCCATTCCCCAGTGACTTTGAGGACATGAGACAGGCCAGCCCAGGAAAGAAGGCAGCCTTGCAAATACTTCTTTGCCTCCTCCTGAGGAGCAAAACTCATCTGTGTGGAGAGTGGTGGGTTTCAAGGCGGTGGGAGACAGATACCTTCTGCCTCTTGCCACCCACCTCCATCTCTCTGTGGGAAGGACCTAGCTGTCAGGGGTGCACTTCATGTCTATAGGTGTGGGGTTTTAGGGACCAAGGCCATAAATCGGAAAAGCAGTTGTACACCCAGAGTGAAGAACCTGGGACTTTGGTGTAGTTCACAGCTTCCCAAGTCACAGAATAGTTTGCCTTTTGTCACAGAGGTTATATCCCTCAGTGTCAGCAGCCCAGCACGGGGCTGGGGTCAGCACCTATTTGTTTGCTTTTGCTAAAACTGGAGCTGACACCCGGGTGGGGCAACTTTATTCAGGGGGCTGGAGTTCTTGAGATGGTCACTTCTAGGGTAGGGGTCCCTGAGTAGATGCCCATGGTCCAGGCAGCCATGGTCAGAGGTCAGAGGGCAGCCCCTGGGGTGAGTTGACAGGCAGTGGATGCCTCCTCAGGCCATAGCCCATGTTTTCTGGCATCAGGCTCTGTGGTTTGGGGGCTGGAGAAGGAAGCCAGGTGAAACCCAGAGCACCCTGCGAAAGACCCAGAAGTAAATCCTCTCCACCTTCCTTTCCTGGTGTGCTTTCTTCCAGAAAGCTAAAGGCAAACTTTGTTTCTCATGATGGTATTTTTTCTTTGTGTTTAAAGATCAGAGTCTTGGAGCACACAGTACATAACTTAAGTAATGTTGCAAAAAGGGTTGGTTTTAATTTCTATGCTTGACAGAAATTAGATTTTCATTTCCTTATCTGAAGGTAGTGACTAGCCCAGGTCATCCTGTTCTGTGCTGATGATCCAGTCCCAGAAGTTCTATAACTTGGGCAAAAGCTACCAGAGGGGCAACTGTTACTGTGTCCTTGCCATTAGCCTGCTAACTCATCTTCCTTGGGGCCTTGTGCTTTTGGGGTAGATGACTGGAGGCAGACTATTGAATAATGCAGGGAACTTGAGAGGAAAGCTTTGAGGGGTCCCAGAGGAGTTTGGGGGCAGGGGAATGTCAAGGTTCTGTGGGTCTGAAACCAACACCCAGGAAGTCAACAACCATCTTCAAGGCCGGATGCAGGGCGTATTTAAGGTGAAAGTGTGAGGTGGTGCCATGGGGGTCTATTCCCAGATAGCATGGTGAGGGGAGACACAGGCTATACCCTCCCCGAAACTATATTCAATCCTAACATGCATTAGAATAGTGTTCTTCAAAAACTTTTGACCATCACCCATCATAAGAAATATAGATACATTTGCTCCTGTTGGCCAGACCCCACCTCCCCACGACTGGTGGCAGCCCCTCCCAGGCAGGGACTTCTTTCATGCTCAGAGTAGTGCAGGTGTGCTGATTCAAGTCACCACTGGCGACTTCTGGGCTTTAGAGTTCAGGTGTTCCTGGGGCGTTCCCTGTTTTAAATCTTGATGCAGAAAGCAACATAGTGTCCTCAGGACAGCTAGTGCAGTTTTAGTTAGCACTGCTGATCTCTTACTTTCTGGACTATGAGGTAGATGACCCTCTGGAATCTGGAGGGAAATGTGGCAAAGATGGGACCAACAACTTAACAGCCCACAGCATCTGGGGGTCATTTCAGGACTAACACAGAGCAGGGGAAGGAACTATGCTGTACCTGATGGGGCGTGAGTCGACTTTTGTGAGCTGATGAGAGTGGTGGCTGCTAGTCTTGATGGGATGCGGTGATAGTGCCACCTAGTTCAGATGTCCTCTAGGAAGGCCTAGCTGTTCTTAAGAGGGCCAGGTGTGGCTGGGGCACGAGGGGGCAGCCACATATTCTGTGGGGAAAACAGAACCAGATACCAGACGATGGAGCTCATTCACGAGAAGAAAAATTCCAAAGCCTCACTGTCTGGGGCCCATCCCTGTGCTGGTGACTGTGGCCACTTTGACCTCTGTAGTTCTGGAGTCCAAGTCACTAAGTGGGACTCTGGTGGCCTTTGGGGACTGTGTCCTGGCTTCACTGAAAGCTGTGCCTGCGAGGTAGAGGGAGTACAGGAGGGGCTGGCCCTATGGGTGGCTTGGCCTGGCGTGTGCTCCTGGTGGAGGCAGATGCCCAGGTAGCAATGGAAGGGGCCCTGTCAAGAGGGCCCTCCAGGAGCCTGTGCCCTCAGAACCTGGAACTGACCCCACTGTCTTCCTTCAGCCTCAAGGAGCTGGAGTCTCAGGTGAGATGTATGGAGAAGGAGGCCACTGAGCTCAAGGAGGCAGTGGAGCAGCAGAAAGTGAAGAACAATGTGAGTATCAGGCAGTGAGTGGGGCAGGAAGAGCAGGCTGAGCAATGTGAGGGCGGGCCTGCTACGTGAAACCTGCCCCTAGCCACTAGCCAGGTGGTGTGCTTAGCTACCTCTTTACATTGTGCTACTTGTGGCTGAAGGTCTGCCTTTCCCTAAATGGGGTATGGGGTTCCTCCTGCCTTCCCCCTCAGGTCTCATAAGTCCCAGGGCTGAGGCCCATTGGACCAGTGTGGAGCCTGTGCCCAAGCAAGGAGCCATTCCTGTGATGGGGCAGAATGTGCCAGTTGGCCTCGCTTGGGTCACATGGTTCCCTCGAGCGGGAAGGCTGGGACAAGAGCAGGCGATGGAAAAGTTCCTCTCATGTGGGGTGCAGAGCCACCTTGGCCATATCCCCCCTCCAGGCTACCGACCCTCAAAGAGCTCTGATTTCCCAGCTGCCCTGTCTTTTAACTCCAGGGGAGTCCCTGGCTTGTACCTCCCAGTGCCAGAGACAAGGCTTGCTGTGCTGCTGGGGAGCCTGTCTCTGAGGAGGGCAAGCTTACCCTCCCTCCTCATCTCCTTCAGACTGGAGTCTCCCTGGAAGGAAGTTTGCCTCCTTACAGCTAAGCCTTGACCACCCCACATCTGGCTGTGGGTGCGGGCCAAGAGAAAGGGCCTGTTGTTTCTTTGCAGAGCCACCATGGGGTCCAGAGTGAGGACGGGCGGGTTCTCTGGGCCCTGCCCTGGTAAGACCAGCTGAGGCAGCTCCTGTGGGCCTGTCTACAGCTGACCTGGTCTGCCTGCTTACTTTTTCACCTGTCACTTCCCAGGACCTTCGAGAGAAGAACTGGAAGGCGATGGAAGCTCTGGCCTCAGCAGAGAGAGCCTGTGAGGAGAAACTGCGCTCCATGACCCAGGCCAAGGTCAGAGCCTCCCCCATCCCTAGATCTAGCGGCACCTGTATAGCTTCAGCAAAACACACAGAACTCAAACTACATGCAGAGCAGCCTTGACCTCTGAGCTCAGAAATCTATGCCAGGGGCCAAGGGCACAGTGCCCTGGGCTCCTGTATCTTCCTTTTTGCTTTCCCTTCCTCTCGCCCTTCCGTTTTTCTTTAAAATGAAAGAGGAATAGTGCTCCTTTGATGGCTTTTACTCAGCAGGGCCCTTTAACATCAGGGGCAGAAACTGAGGGGCCATGGGGGCCATGAGCCCACCTGGCTACACCAGCTATGAGAACACCCAAGATTGGCCGTCTTCATGGACTTTCCTCATGTTATTTTTGACTCCTGATATTCTGTCTGAATAATCCTACTGGCTTCTTAAATCAGGGCCTCTTGGGTTCTGTGATTGATCACAGAGAGGGAGTTCATCTTTAGCAGCAAGCACTTAGGAACCTGTGCTCTGTGCTGCCCACGTAGGCGGAATGTGGGGTTTCAGCATCTGGGGCCCTGGGGCCAGCACTAAGGCTCTGGCCTGGACATGGTCTACAGCGGCGGCAAGGGAGGGCCCCACCACCACCATCCTTGGCCCTGATGGAAAAGCCTGGGGGTAGCCGGTCTTCCTCTCCCGGTCCTTCATGCAAAAGAAATGTTTGTCCTGATAATAAGCTTTGCTGGGACTTCCATGGATCACAGGGAGCCTGAGGGTTGCATTAGATGAGGACCCCGAGAGGTGGTGGGAGCTGGAGGGCTGGCCTCGGGTCACCAAGGGGACTGGTCTTCTGTGGCAAATGTGGAAGCTGTGACCAGAGACGTCAGCTGACTCGCTCATGGTCATGCAGCCAGATAAAGACGAGAGCTGGTCCTTGGTCCTCTGGCTCTTGCCTTGGACCCCACAAGGCATGTGGGGGAGGGGACTTGAATGGCAGTCACGAGGTCAGGGGTCCGTAGCAGGCCGAAGAATTCACTTCTGAGGTTCGAGTGCAGACCACATGGGTGCTGTGGTCGGGCCAGGCGTCAGCTGTCCTGCATGCGCACATTCTGACCACCACTCTGTGCTAATCCTGCATTCCTAATGACGCCCCTAGACCTCGGGTTGTGCCAGATCTTGGGGGGCTGGCAACAGGTTCGACCTGCCAGGGGCAGGTTACCAGGTAAGACTCTGAGCCAGAAATGCCTGTGGCCACCACCCAGGGTGTGGGGAGGGGGTGTTGTTTGTCCCCAGACACACCACAGTCTGGAGCAGAGCTCCTTAGTTTCCCCTCCACTCCTTTCTCATGTTGTGAGTGAGTGGGAGCCTCCAGGAGGACAGGGCATGGCCAGTGTGTACACACACACGCACGCACGCACACATATGCACACGCACAAACACACATACACACAAGCAGAGCACTCAGGAATCAGGACTCCCAGATGCTTCTGTCGGCTGCTCCGATACTGTACTAGCTGGGAAGCACCTGGCACCTGCTGCGGGCTGGCCCGCTGGCCCCCTGGGTCAGAGCCGAGTCTGTTGAAAATTGACCCACCAGGCTGGGGTTGCCAGAAGTTAACCACCACCACCCGCCTCAGCTCCACAGAACTCCCCCCCACCCCCCCTTCTCTGCTGATCCTGACCCCGCCCTTCCTGGGGTAGAGGCCCATGAGCACTCCCGGGGGTGCCCTAAACCTTCAAGGCCAAATGCCCCCCTTTCCCCTTCTTCCAGGAGGAATCAGAAAAGCAGCGCAGTCAGACCGAGGCCCAGACCAAAGAGGCCCTGTTGTCTCTGTTCCCTGAACTCTCCGACTCAGCACACCAGGTAGGAGGGGAGGGCGGCACCCTGGGACGCGCACGCACGCACACGCACGCACGCACACGCATGCACACACCCGGATCACAAGGAATGTTATTGCCTGGGCCCCACCTTGTACATTTTGTTGCAGAACTACACCAAGTGGCTGCAGGAACTCAAAGAAAAAGGCACCAAGCTATTAACGCAGTCACCGAGTCACACGGAGCCCTCCTCGGTAAGCCCACGTGCCAGCCTGTGCCCTCGCCGGGGCTGCCGCTGTCACCCTCCTCGCCCCTGTTCCTAGCAAGGGTGGGTGACCGCACTCGTGGGAGGAACCTTTGTGTTTGGCTTTCCTGACCGTGCTCTGTTCTGCCCTCTACCCTCAGGAGCTGGCTTCCAAACTGAGGGAGGCTGAGGAGACCCAGAGCACCCTGCAGGCCGAGTGTGACAAGTACCGCACCATCCTGGCGCAGACGGTAGCCTGGGGAAGGCCCACAGGGTGGGGGCGGGGGGGGGGGAGAGGCTTCGGGAAGGAGAAGTCTCTCAGGAACAGCAGGGAGGGAAGCAATGTGGAAAAGCCCCACTGTCCCCTGGGAAATGAGCCCTGAGCCCTGTGTTCCAGCAGTGGCTCTGTGTGACCTTGAGCAAGTCCCTTCCCCTCCCTCGGTTCCACTTCTTTGGTTGAAGAGTAAAGGGTTTGGCTAAGGCATGTGGGTCTTCCTTGCTTCTAAGCTGAGGAGAGAGTCAAGTTTCAGGTTTGGGGCTAGCCCCAGGGGCAGGAGAGACTTGGTCATCACAAGGAATAGTCTGGGAAGGAACAAGGTGAGCATTTGACTGACTCGAGCCATACTGAATCCAGCCCTCTTGATCCAAACCACCCAATTTTGTGCACCGTGTTCTGGGCTTCTGATCAGGTCGGTGCTAGTCGCAAATCCAAGAAAGGCGAGAATCCTAGTGGCCTCATTTGTGTCACAGACTTCATTCCCCTGTGTGACTCCCAGCCCGTGTTCACACACTAGCCAGAGGGCCCACTGTGGCCCTCCTTCCCTCTGCACCCGGCACTATGACAAGATCAGTGCAGGGCCACACATGGGCAGCCAGGCATCATCCCAGAGGAGCAGAGGGGACAGGGAGATGCAGTGTGTGTTTATGTGTGGTGGGCCTCTGAGGAGAGGGCCAGCTTCAGCGCCCTGTCCCCCCAGGAGGGCATGCTCCAAGCCCTGCAGAAGAGCGTGGAGGAAGAGGAGCAGGTGTGGAAGATCAAGTTGAACAACACAGAGGAAGAGCTCCAAAAGGTACAAGACAGGCCTCCCGGCCCTCCCCAGGGTCCAGCCACAGGAATCTCTCTCCAAGGGGCCCAACTTCTCTAGGAATTCAAACAATTTACTAGCACTATTCAACCGGCTCCCTTGGCAAAAGAGTCAAGTTGCTGATTTTTGGTGGTGCTGCGTAAAGTGCAATGACACTCGGCCCCAGGAAGAAGCTGCAGGGTCCTGCTTAAGGGGTTGTACTCTGCCTGCTCCCTGCGAGAGAGGCTCTGAGTGAGGAGACTACATCCTGGGACAAATCCCCCTCCAGGCCTTGTGTTTGACGGGGCTTCCCCTTGCTTTGTAGTCACGGGTCAAAGTGAATCATCTTGAAGAGACCGTAGAGAAGCTAAGAGGAGAACTGGAAAGTTCAGACCAGGTATGTGGGGAGCTCTGCTTAGGGATCTGCTTTCCTCACAGAGAAACATTAATCAGAGACTCTTTTCCTCCTTTTCCCTAATGGACCACAATCTTGTCGGTCCTGCTTTTCCTTAATGAGAGCTATTTACCACTTCAGAGCGGCCTGAGGCAGCCGTGACCCTGGCAACAGGCCCAGTCCTAACAGACAGCGGCTTCTGCCATGGCCTTCTGAGCCAGGGGAGGTGTGTGTCACTGCCCCGCTGCTCCTTCCCACGCCAGTCAGCCCTGCCTTGGAGAAGGAACTCCTGGTATCACCTTGCAAGTAAATCTGAGAGCTCGTCCCCCACTATTGGGGTATGAGAACACTTCAGGACCCAGCAGTGCTGGAGTTCAGGGTACCCACTTCAGTAAGGTGTTCTCTGTCATCTGCTCATTTCTGCCTGGCCTCAGCTGACCAGCAGGCTGGGGAGGTCCCCTCTCAGTCCCTGTTTATCCCAGGACCAGCCAGACTCGAAGCCCCATTACCCTGTTCCCTGGGTTAGTGCTGGCCCCTGATGTATGTGTGCACATCCAGGTGAGGGAGCACACCTCGAATCTGGAGGCGGAATTGGAGAAACACATGGCAGCTGCCAGTGCTGAGTGTCAGAGTTATGCCAAGGAGGTGGCAGGGGTGAGTCTAGTACCACAAGGCCTGTGGCCCCTGCCCACTGGGGTCTCTGCCTGCCCAGTTGCTCCTGCAGCTAAATATGAGCTGTAAGTCTGAGCTCTCAGCCTTTGCCCTAGGCCTTGGGCCATTAGAAGGTGTCACCGCGGTGGGGGGAGGGGGGGATCGGGAGGAGACACAGACAGATTTCAGAAATGTGGCACCACTCACAGGGAGGGATAAAGCCAGGTCACGCTTGCAGCTATCGAATTATCTACTTGGCAACAGACATTTTTGGCAAGGGATGGGAGGGTGGATTTAAATGATACTGTTATCTGATTGTTCAGAAATAAGAGGCAAAACCTGCCACCCCCCGATTCTGTTCTGATCTCAGACTTGGGCATTACTTTTTGCAAGCGAGAGTAACATTTGAGAAGGCCTCAGTGTGGACACTGAGGTGTGCAGTAGTGGATACTGCCCTTCCTAAGTCTTCAAAAAGCAGTGGTGGCTGGGGGCACTAGGGAGCCATGGCTTATGTGAATGTGTTGGGTATGAACTCACAGGACTGCTTTTCTGTCTCTTCTCCCCCTCCCTCACCACCCCCCCCCCACCTCCGCCCCGCAACACCTGCTCTGTTTTCCTTCAAGTTGAGGCAACTTTTATTAGAGTCTCAGTCTCAGTTGGATGCAGCCAACAGTGAAGCCCAGAAACAAAGCAATGAGCTTGCTCTGGTGAGTGAAGTTGCTATAGGGTGGGCGCTGTGACATGGAGGTTGCGTGTGTGTGAGATGAATTCGTCAGATGTGTTTCTTCCTGTTCAAGGTCACTTGGCTTGGTGGAGGGACGTAGCTGTGTGGGCCAGGCTCTGACGGGGTATGCCGAGGGGCGCTTCACGTGTTTGCCCAAACCTCCATGCTGGGCCTGTGGCTGCCAGGATCACATTCTACTTTCTGTCTCCCCTAGGACAGCCTGGTTGCTGGTCTAGGTGCTGGGAGTTTGTGGAGTTCAACTGCCTGTGAGCCTGGCGTGTCACCTGGGCCCCTCTGGGCTTGGCCACTTTGTGACTCCCAGTACATGGCTCTGGCAGACTTGGGTCCTTTCCACCTCATCCGTGGCTCAGACCAGCTCAGTCACCCCTTTACGTACAAGGAGGCCTGCTCAAGGCCCAGTGGTACAGGTGCCCCATTCCTAGACGTGCTGGTCCCTCTGTGTACTGGCTTTCTGTTCCAGTGCTTTCTGTTCCAGGGCCTTGGCAAGTTCAGTCTGGTCTCACAGAGGCAGGCCCCACGGTCCTAACAATGGCTCCCGGGCTGGGGCTGCAGACAAGTAACTGCATGGTCACAGACGTGTTGTCTGATGTGCACGGTCTTTTAACACCCTAAATTAGTTGCCAACGTTTAGAAATTAGGCAGTTTTGAGTACAAATGCATGTCTGGTCTTCTGAGAGGACACTGAAGGTCCATTCCCATTGCTGAGCTCGAACAGCCACTACGCTGGAGTCCACGCTCCCAGCTCCCCCTCTTCCCAGTCATTCAGCCCTTAACCCAGGATCATCAAACCGGAGGACAGGGCTTTCCAGGCCGCGTCTCCACCTCAGCCCAAGGGCCACTCACCAAAGCCACTAAGTTGGGTCTGGATACAGCCCAGATTCGGGGCAGGTGCAGAGATCACTTCCCCGAATCTTTCATTATCATTGGGATACACTTTGACTTCTGGATTTGGTGATGGGAGGAAGGGGGGAAGAAATGTGAAGGCAGACCCCACATACTTGTGGCACCCTCTGGAGCTGCGTCTCATGGGTGGGGCCCTTGGGGCACCTGTGTCACTGCTGCCCTAGATCTTCCCACTAGAGACTTTACCTGACCTTCACAGGTGACACTGCCTCCAGATTTGAGGGCTGGGGCCTTGGGGGCCACTGGATACATGAACCCCACCCCCAGTGATGCAGCGCAAGGGTGAAGCACCTTATTAGGCTAGGGTGTCCTCTCTTTTCTAGACCTCCAACAAGGGCTTTGAACAGTAGCTTGTGTCTTGAAAGAACTAGGACCAGGTAGCATTAGTGCTGGTCCAACTAGTCATCTTGTACTTTCTTCCGGATTCATCTGCTCTGTGCGTGGCATCTGTCAGGCGCCTTGCCCCAGGGAGGCGCCAGGCAGCTGGCTTTGGTAGAGAGAGCAGGGGCCTCAGTGTGGGATCAGCCGGACCCCTCAGTGGCCCTCAGGCCTTGGTTTGGCCTAGTGAAGGGCCGTGGCACTGGCTTCCCTGCGCCAGGGAATCTAAGTGGCAACTCTAACACAGGTCAGTTACCAGATTGGGTCCCTGAAGGAGCATCAACAGTCCACCTGAGGGGTCTGTGTGTGTGCGCTTGTGCGAGGTGGGTGTGTCTGGCTGCGTATTTGCACAAACCCACCCCTCCCTGTTTCAGGTCAGGCAGCAATTGAGTGAGATGAAGAGCCACGTAGAGGATGGTGATGTAGCTGGGTCCCCGGCTGCGCCCACAGAGGCCCCCTCAGCTGAGCAGGACCCCATCGAGGTTAGGGCGGTGAGCAGGTCCCCAGATGTCTGTTACTAACCGCCCATGTGGTCCCTCTGCACCCCATCTGGAGCGCAGGGATAGCAGGCCTCTGTTTTGGCTAAACACCAGCGACCTGCAGCCTCTACCACACGCACTGGCAGGCTCCCCCAGGTTCTGAGGAAGTCACAGAACAGAGGAAAGGGCAGGGGCAGTGGCCAGGTGTGGGGCACCTCCTAACATCGGGATCTTGGGGGCGGCTGGGTCTGCGCGCAGGGCTCCGCTCGCCCGCTGTTACCACGGCGAGGCCGTCGCAGGCGGGGGCCGCGCTCTGGCGCCATTCCAAGGAGCTGTCCCTGAGAGCCCTCTCGGGATGTCACCAGAGCAGCAGTGGTGTGGCTGCTGGGTGGGGGTCTTGCTGTGGGGCCGGGGCATGTGCCGTGACTCTTGAGGTGGCCTTGCCCTTTGGGGTTCATCAAAGCAGCCTGACATCAGGGAGGCGCCATCGGCACAGCTTGTCGGCATCAGCTTCCGTATCAGAGCTGAGCATCATCTCCCCAAAGAGGGAGCTTGGAAATACCCCGCTGGCTGGCTGGTGGGCAGAGGCCACCTCAGCAGGCCGAGGCAGGGAAAGGCTGAGGAATGTCAGAAGCAACTAGAAGGTGGAACCTCAAGGTCTCAGCCTGCCTGGGTTCCCAGAGTACGTTCATGATGATGTTTCCATGCAGCTGAAAACACAGCTGGAGCGGACAGAAGCCGTCCTGGAGGACGAGCAGACGCGGCGGCAGAAGCTCTTGGTCCAGTTTGAGGAGGTTAGGCTTTGCCCTGTGGTCTTGACCCCATCGGCTTTGAGGCCAAAATCTCAAAGCTTCCACATCGGGGACAGTATGGGCCGGCCAGGGGGGCAGGAGTGGTTGCGCCTTGGCCCTCCCCCGGGGTGTTCCTGCATAAGCAGGTCTTTTGCCTCCCACCTGATCATCTGGTCACAGCTTGACCTGTCGTCCCTTCAGGCTGGGGTGCCCTTCTGTTCCCATGGGGACTTGTGAGGTCTGTGAGGCCTGTCCCCTCTGACCTCACTGTGTTCTCTGCCAAGGCTCAGAAATCAGCGTGTCAACTACAAGAAGAGCTGGATAAGCTCCGCAGTGGTAGCCCCCTCACGTCATCAGAAGCAGAGGTCTCGCAGTTGAAGGTAAAGGGTGGGGTCTGCTGTAAGGCCAGAAAGGGGGCGCCCACCCAACCCAAGCCTGAGCACCCCTTTTCCATTATTACCACCAGCGCGGGAATGGCAGCGGGGCGATCTTGAGGCCCCTCGAGCAGGTCCAGCTTAACTCGAGAGGGAAGGGGATCCTAAACATTCAGAGGCACATAAAGCAGCCGCTGGCTGGTGTGGCTGAGCTTGAGGGGCGGGCGTCGGTGCCGCTCAGCACCCACACGAGGCAGCTTTGCTGGTGTGCTGGTGGGTGACAGGGCAGGGCTGAGGGTCAGAAGTCTGCTCACAGCCGTCACTGCCTGTCTCTGGGTAAACAGCGGGCAGCGTGTGCCCTCAGAGGGCGTCCTGTTCCCAGGGTGTCAGGGCACCGGGCACTACTAGAGAGAGGCCTTCCTGCTTCGTGCCATGTGAAGGCTGATCCCCTTCGATTCTCTGACCCACAGGAGAGGCTAGAAAAAGAAAAGAAGTTAAGCAGTGACCTGGGACGCGCTGCCACCAAACTGCAGGAACTTTTGAAGACAACCCAGGAGCAGCTCACAAAGGAGAAAGACACAGTGCAAAAGTTGCAGGAGCAGCTGGCCAAAACAGTGAGTGTCCTGGCCGTGCAGGGCATCAGATGTGTTCCCTGGCGACTGGCACCTCCCCACCTGCCCCCTGCATGAGAAGCACGCCCTGACCCTGCTGCCAGCCCTCACCAGACTCCAGACCCTTGTCTTCATCCTCAGCTCCCACCAGAAGGGTGTGGGGTATTAGTCTGGGGAAGGGGGTGCTGGATCCTAGGACTTCGAGTTGAGTGCTCCCCTTGGCTCCCTAACTCCGTCCGTTCCCTCACTCTGCCCGTCTGTCTTTGCAGGAGGACAGCAGCAACTCAAAGGAGGGCACCTCTGTCTGAAACTCCTCTGCGTGGAAAAAGAAGTTACTGTTCAACTTACCAAAATGCCTTATACATTCCTTACAAATAAATAAACCGACCAACACAGCGTTATCCAGGCCCAACTTCCGGTAGCTCTGAAAGAAGCCATTAGAGACAGGAGTCTCTTAGAACCACAGAAATAGATCTCACAGACCCTGTTTGTAAAAGAATCTTTGTCACATTCGATAAACACTATTCCCCAGGACCAGCCCTGGACTCCCGCCAGCAGACGCCAAAGCCCTTATCAGCTCTGTGACAGACCCCAGGGTGTGTGCTGGGGAGGCCGGGACCTCTGGGTATCTCTATGTCAATCAGTGCAATTGTTCTGTCTTTCGGTGGGGTGAGGGCCGGGGGGGAGGGCAGACCGGGTGGTGAGACTCAAGGGCTGTGCCACAGACTGGAGAACCATGCCGCAGCCCAGCGAGGCGGCAGCCCCTCACCCCTGGAAGAAGTTGCCAACCACAACTGATGTGTGACCTCCGGGATGTTAATGCCATTAAAACCAACATTGTCGCTGGTGCTGCAGTCTCATGTCATCTCTGCTGGGGGTCCCCGACCTGGCTGGCCGCGGGGCCTGGGGTGAGGAAAGAGGAGGGGCTGGCTCCCTCAGGACAGAACAAGCGCAGTTCTTGGTGTCTGTGAAATCAGAATCCGCAGTTCTGTCTAGAGTGGGGCGAAACTTCTTGCCTCCTGGTGTCCCCAGAGATAGCCAGGCAGGGTGACACGCGGTGACCAGAGGGTGCTTGCTGCGACAGAACTTTGTCGCTGCATTGTGGCGGGGACACGACAAGGGACACAGCAGTCGCGGAGCAGGTTTGCAGGGCAAGACTCTGCTGCTTGAGCAGAAGTTCTTGTGCCATTCATTGAAAAAACACAGGCTAGTAAAAGCTGATCATGTGACAATGGTATGAGGAATAAAGTCCAGAGGGTGGGATAAGAATGGGGGACAGAGTTTTACAAGGGACAGGGAAGGGGACGTTGTGACCATACACCAAGAGACATTTGCGTCAGCGAAGTATTTGATGTTATCACAGAGAGAGTTATCCCGAGACCACCATGCCGAGAGTCACATAATCAGGTCAACAGCGGCCTAGGCATCCCTGGGCCTGCCTCGTGACGGGCTATACTCCGCAGGTAGTCAAGGAATGCTCTGATGTGACTTGCAGATAGCAAATAGGTCAAATTGCCCATGAGTGGCCGGCCAGTAGCCAGCTCATGTCAACCCATAGGTGCTGACCACAGTCCTCACCATTGCTATCTGAGGTGGCCTGCCTGAGCGAGGCTGTGGGCAGCCTGGACAACGGTGTGAAGCGAGCGCCATGGATGAACAGGGGGGTGTACGGGGAGGGCACTGTCCTTGCCAGGACTTAGACAAATGCCCAGGCCTTGGGAGGGCTGGGCCAGGGCGGCCCACTGCTTGCCCTCTGGAAGTAGGGTTTCACTGGTGGAAACTCTAGGGCCTAGATTGCCTGTGGTCCTCAGGCCGAGTCAGGAGGGAGGAGAGGAACGGTCAGGCCAAAGAAGGCAGAAGCGGAGGCGTTGAGGGACTAGGAGACCATGACAATGGATAAGCGGTCTGGGCAAGGCGGTGGAAGCTGCAATCATTCTAGACTCGAGCAGGCTTAGTGGAAAGGGTGGAGCTTGGGAGATGGACACCATGGTTTCTGGATGGGAGATTGAGCAGGAGGAAGTGACAAAGTATCTGACATCTGCCATTCGCCCAGCCCTGTGCTTGCTTCTCAGGTGAAAACTCACCATGGGAGGGAAACGACCCCATATTTCGCGAACAATTCCCATGCGAAGCTACCTCGCTCGGCAAAGGGCAGGGCAGGCTTCCAACGTACCCCTCTAACAGCTGGCAGTGCGTCAGGTCAGAGGGCAGGCAGGACTGAGCCCATAAACCTGTGGCCCCCTCACACTGCCCCTCCTGTGCCTTGTATATCAGCAGTGGGGTCTCAGCGGGAAGACTGGCCTTGTGGGGGTGGGGTCACATCCTCACCCTGCACACAGCAGCCTTACGCAAGGTCAGTGGTTTGGTGCCTTGGTGAGTTTCCTGTTGGCAAATAGGCCAGCCCTGTGCCCTGTATCTGGACTCCTGCATCTTAGTGGTCACTGTGGGCATGAGCACCTGCGTTTCCAGCAAGCTCCCTCCTCTTCCCCTCCCCTTTCTCCCTCCCCTTGCTACAGAATTGAGAACTCCTACCTGGGCATGCACTCTGATTTGGCACAGAAATGAGGGGCCCTTAAGAGGAAGAAGAGCATGAAGCCCTGGGGCTACCAAGCTGCTGCTTTTAGGTTATCATGTGTTATAATGGCTGCTCCCTGGATTCTAGCTACAGCCTTGCTCTCAGACCACCTGGCAGGGGTCCACTATACCTGTGGGAAAGGAGTTAAGACAAGGCAGGCACAGTGCCAGGGCTAGGAATCCACGGACTGACCTGGGTTCTGGGAAAGATCAGTTTGGAGGTTTCTCTTCTGTAGCCTAAGGGTCCTATTATCTGTTCTTCCTGCTCCAGCAAGTGCTTAGCAGCCTTGAGGTCCGGCAGTGGCATCTCTTAGGCCAGCAGAGGGAGCCTGAGTTTGCCAAGCCCGCTGGGCCTTGACTCAGCCTGGCCTGGTGGCCAACAATTATTCCTGGGCAAAGTTTCATCCTTAGGCTGGGGGAGGAAGGAAGAGCCATTTAGGAACATATCTGAGTCAACTACCCTGGGCGGATCCTGCACAAGAGATTTATAGGCTCCTTGGTGTTCCTCAACACAGTACAGACACCCAGGAGCCTCGCCATTTTTGCTTCCTGTCCTGCAAATGTAGCAGCGCTCTCGCAACACTGGCTTTGTTGTGTCCCTTGCGATGAAGTTCATTGTGGAAGCAGGAAGAACTGCTGTCCCTAGGCCTGGCTTCACAAGCGGCCATGGCTTGGGGTGGGGCTAGGGCTGCTGCTGCATCTTAGACGACCCAGATGAGAACAAGCAGTTCTGAGAACACCTAGTCTAAAGGCTCCATTTAGAGGCCTCGGAAAGGACCTGAAACTACAGGGTCCCACGGCCCATAAAAGAGCAAGTCCCGGCCTCTAAGTGCTTTTCTTTGGACTAGCTTTCTCTGGTCATCTGCCTAATACTTAAATGCGCAAGTATGAGGATGCCTGTCCTGTTGCACCATCTGGTAATGGATAGGATGGGAAGGGTGGGGGGAACAAGATTTCGGAAACCAGTGTACACCCTCCACAAATGCCTTCTCTCTGAGCTTCCTCTAGGTTTAGGTCTAAGTAGACTCAAAGCCCTAAGAACTGTTTTCTTGTGCTCCAGTTCAAGTCTCATCCCTGATACTGAACAAGAGCTAACCTTACAATTTCAGTTGTCAGAAATAAAGAACTCTCCAGGGGTATATGGAACAGCTTAGCACCAAAACAAGAGATCCAGGCTGCTGTTTTCGTTTTGCCACGTGTGCAGCCGCAGGCAAATGACCTTTCAGAAGTGGCCGTGGCTCGGGGAGTCCTCTCCCCACAGCCCTTCCGAGCTGGGCAGAACCCCTGGAGAGCCGTGGCCAGCTGAGTTAGACGTATCTGTCTTCCACAGAAGCCCTGGCTCCTGGCACGTTCCCTCTCCTGGCCACAATGCAACTAATGACCCGTCTTCCAGCTGCATCTCAGCTGCCGTATTTCAGAAATGCCCCCAATCATAAGACAGTCATGCCGTGTGCCTAGTCTTTGATAGTCACAATAAAGGGCAGAAAACTAGTCAAGAAACAAACTGAACTTCCTGTGTGACCAGCCAGCACTCTGGAAGTTCTGCAAAAACAGAAAACCACTTGACAAAGCCTACTTCTATTATTCAAGTCACTGTGTTCACGGCTAAGATATATTCTGAAATGGCAAACCAGGTAAGTTCTGAATTTCAGTTAGCAGTGGCTTTATTTGCTTCTTAGGGCAAAAGAGTAGCCATTAGGTGAACAGTAAAGTCTCCTTTCTACATTTCTGTAATATGGTAACACTTGTAAAAACGTAAATATACTTACCTGCAACTTCTGCTACTGGCCAACATCAGCTGATATCTAAAGCTAGTTTTTCATCAAAATTATCTGGAGTGCTTTTAACTAGCCGGATTCTTGGGTCCCAGCCTTGGGAATCTAATATGTTTTTTTCTCAAAAATTCCCTAGGTAAAGATTCAGGTAACTATTAGCATCTTCCCAATTTCTGGAATAAGAGTGCAGTGTTGGGAGATGTTTACATGATATTATATCCCGGAAGTTTAAAATCCTTCCCATGCGTAGCATAGCATGCACCCCACTCCCATTCCCCTCCTCCTCCACACCCCCATTTTCTCTCACACACACGAATGCACACGCACCTGCAGAGTGATGTTTATGCAAGTAGTGACAGGTGTCATTGGCTGACACCAAGGACAAGACACTCCTTCTAAAACTCCCTGACCAAATACGTGGCTCTAGCTACATGGTTGGTTCTTGAGCAAGGCAGCCATGGGCCCAAACATCCTTCTCAGGAGGCTGTTAATATAGAGTCACAAAAAGCACAGCTATGCAGTAGAGATAATAGAAATTCAGAATGATAAGCAAGTATTTTGATTAAAGCATGCTGAATTTTTTTGTCTCCCAAATAAAGAGGCGATAAAAGCCTGGCATTTGGAAGAAGAAAGATCCCCAGCTTTTACATCAACTTCCTCATTCAATCAGAGCTAGAGCTGTGTGTGGTCTCATGTTTAATTGTCTGAAATACTCAAACCTCAACAACTGATCCCATATGGAAGACCAAATCCTTTAGTCCCAGTTTACCAGTGAATAATTACACAGGAGATAAGTTAAAAATGCTTCCTTTATTACATAAAGCCAATACTGCTACTTCTAAGTTCAACCATTTGTGCATCTCTACATTTTTCAAAGTGTTATGCCTGTGATGTTAAAGACAGTCACTTCCAAGTGCCATCAGGCGGTGGCTTCCCGTGGGTGTCACCCGTCATACCTAATTCCCATTTCAAAAAGTCAACAAACTGCTCTAGGAAATTCAGAAGTTCCCCCAGTCCCCAGAGTAAACATATATTTAATGTTCTTCCACACCTTATTGTACCACAAGCAACAAAGTTCTGAAGGAGATGCAAGGATATCACAGGTGTCCTAGCTGTTAATACACCCTGTTATTTTCATTAATGAAGTGTATTACCATGGACCTCTAATTTGCATTTAATTAGTTGTTACAAGATATTGCACATTCTCCTGAGGACACGCCATGATTTCCAAGATGCAAGGTCACTCAGAATAGTCTCCCAACTAGTGAGTGGAGAGAGTGTGGAGCTGTTTCATTTACTCCAACTACATGCTTGAAATAGTGCTTTGCAGGATCAGCGCTGGTTATAAGCATACACGGTTGAGGCAGTCTCTACTGCATACTTGGTAGGATTTAAACACAACCTGACAACCTTACTGTGGTAGTGTATTTGTGCTGTTAAATGTTATGAGAATATTTTCCATTACTCAGTTTAGCTTGAGAGAGAATAAAAAATTTGGGCCAAAATTATAACCAGATTATGTCTAATTATTTAAGGAAAAAAAAAAAAGTAACTGCTGAGGTTAACAAAGTCGCAATAATTCTCTTCATATAGCCTTGCACTGTTTTGTGAACTGCATTATTAAAAATCACGAGTGTTAACAAAAGTCTTTAAAGCCAACTCATCAAAATGGGCATTTGGCCAATAAGAATTTAATTTCACACCAATAAAACTTAGGGTTTTATATTTATTTAGGGCCATCTGCACATGTGTATAGAATATTTAGTTTACTCTAATAGATGACAAGCTCCCCCTTATTGAGATCCTGGCCTAAACATACTTGCTTTACTTATATTGCAAAAGGATAATATTGAACATGGAAGCTTTTGATTTGTGGCACTGAATGATGATCTACACAGGGCATCCTTCAAAAGCTACAATTAAGGATCCACCTAGCTTTTCTGCAATACAAGCCCGGTTGAGGTCTTCTGGTCCATTTGCTTGACATTCATGTTTTATGCCTAGGGAGGAAAAACAATTATATTTAAAATAATGGTACGAGTGTACCCATTTCGCTAAGATATCAGACTGTTTTAACACAAAACCAGCTCTAACATGGATAAGAAAGCTGAGGTATATACAACATAATGGTAATAAATACTCTCCAATTCCATGCGCCAAAATGCATGACTCTCACAAACATAATGTTGACTAAAAAAAGCCAGACATAAAAAGCACACATACATTCTAGATAATTCAATTTATATAACACAACACCAGCCAAAGCTATTCAAAGCTATTAGAAAGCCAAACTATTGGTTATTCTGCCGTGGGAGGAGAGGAAGTGGGTTTGACTTGATATGAGCGATACTTCCAGGGTGCTGGTCAGTACAAAGATCACCATGTTCAAGAAAATTCATCACATTCTACAATCATTTATGATGTACACTTTTCCAAAGATATGCTATATTTAAAAAAATAAGTTTAAAAGCAGGTCTAGTAGTGATTTTTCTTCATTTTTAAAATATAAGGAAAACTACGAATTCAATGTTTTGACAGCAGCTGATTTAGCCAACTGTGCCGATGAGTAAGAACATCTACAAATGGAATTGCCTTACTCTAGTTAGGCTTCTTGTGGTATTATATAATACATTTAAGAAAGGTGACACAATGAAAGGCTGCTTTCTCAGAAAAATTACATCGAAACCCTGCAAAAAGAGCTCAATTATGGAATTTTACACAGTAGCTTCTCTGTAAGCGGCTGCTATCTTTTAAAAAGCCACATTATCTTTAATTTTCCCAAATTTCTTAAGCTGTTGACCATTTCTTAAGCTGTTGAAAGCAAAGCAGGTCTTTTGAAGCACCCAGGACTGACTAGAGAAAGCCACTGATGATTTCACTAGGAAAACAAGGGGACCAGGTGATCATCTTTAATTGTGGAAATGCGGAGATCAATGAGTTATTTTAAAGCATCAGTGACCAACTGGATAGCACTCTTCTTTGGGGATGGTCCAACATTAACACATGTAGAACCTGCCAGGGTCTGAACTACACAGTAGCAGGTTTCAGTAAAGAAAGTGAGATTTTTATTCTCCTAAGTGAGTAAAACAAGCTAGGGCAAACTTGTTCTCCTACAAGAATGTGAAAACCAATCCTGGTAGAACAAAAGGAAACCATACTGGGCAAAGCCTTGAGATCTTGGGCAGCCCAGCTCTTTGGAGCCAGTGAATGGCAGGAGAGTGGTGGGACAACTAAGACTGAACTCACACAATCCAAGGTCAAACTTCCCATTCTACAGCTGAGGGAATTGAGGCCCATAGGGGTTAAGCAGTTTAGGAGAAGGTCACACAGCAGTTTAGCCCCCGGTGCAGGCCTTTGGGCACTCGCCCCATGCTCTTTGCATCATACCGATATTTTCTCCTGGCTGCACACTGAAAGCATGGTCAGGCCATCTCATGAGGATCCCAATGCCTTAGTGGCAAGTCAAATATAACTGGCCAGCTGAAGGAGTGGGGCACTTTCCTTTGGTCACAGCTGAGTCAATTACCTAAAATCATACCATTAAAAGTAAAGCTGGGACAAGTATCCTATCTCATTTAGGAACATTTCCTTCTTGCAATTTTGTTATGTCAACTATATTCAATGGCAATAGCCAATGAAACTAATTAGTCTCTACCCTGGCAACATCTTAAACTAGTTTAAAACCAACATACCAAGTGATAGACATACAATGATGAGAAAACAGGGTTATTAAACACAGACATTTCAGACCCAGAGGAACCAACGTAAGGCAGGAAAGTTCTACCTTCTGGGTTTTTCTCAACTGATGGTGTTTATCCTTTCTTTGTGGCCAAGAAATAATAAATAAGAGGCTGCTTAGAAAATAATAATAGAAATAATAAATAAGAGGCTGCTTAGAAAAAAATGGCACCCTGTTCCAACAGCTCACCATCTGCAAGTATGTGGAAGTAAATCAAGACCATACCTTGAAATTTCTTTTTGATTGCATCCTTGGAGCTTGCATAGATCATTTTACTTTTCAGAGGTGCTAGTTCTGGTGCCCTGTATCAAAAGATGCCAAAAATTAAAAGACTGCTTTAGAGAAAGCAGAATTTACATCATTTTAAACATTTGTACAAGTGATGAGGGAAGAGCCTCAGAATCTTCTGGGAGAGTTTTTCTAGTGCACAATTTTTCTACTTCCCTACCTCCCTGGTGAGTAACTGTTATGGACTGTCAAAATAGAATAGCTTAAGTTGACCAAGGTTAAAAAAAAGATAGGGGACCACATGAGTGACCAAAAAAAAAAAAAAAAAGGAACCACTGATTAAAAATCAAATTAATGGGGCCATGATAAAAGGACAACACTGGGTAATTCACTGCATGACCCAATCTGGCTTCTTTTAAGTAATTTTTTTTTTTTCATTTTTATCAGTAAAAGCTTGAGATGAGGCTAATTACAACTAACCCTATACAAAGTTTTTAACACTTTATGAGCAGAAGTTTCAAAATACAGAGAATAATCTGCAAATCAAGTATGTGTCACCCAGAATTAAGAAATGCTAGCAATTCTACCATTTTTCCTTCAGAATTCCTTTAAAAAGAACATATTGCCAATAAAGGAAAAGTCCTTCTTACCCCACCCTAATCCCTTGATTTATGTCAATTCCAATAGCAAATTCTGAGACCACAAGAGTACTTATTTTCCATCTTAGTCTGACATAAAAACGTGTCATTAGGATTGTTCTTTTTAAAGCTTAATGGCATGTCTCAACTGTCAATATTCAATTATCTTATATTTACAAAATTTTTAGTGTCTTCTTGAATGCCCTCTTGAATGAATACTGGAAACACAGCATATACTGTATTTTTTGCTCCAGCAATATTGAAAAACAACAGAAATATTAACAAACAGAAAAATCTCATCCTAGTCCAACTGCTCGCCTATCAATGCATAATTTTCCACTAGACCACCAGACCTCTGGCATGCTTCCACTCTGGCATGCTTCCTTTAATCAAAAGGAAACAGAGTGCAGCTAAATACTTTCAAATGCTTAATGATTCCATTTAGATGCCATGTTTCCAGGGCGCTTAGCAGTCATTAACACTGGGCTAGTGTGGCCCTCACCTAATCCATTCCTTCCACAGCAGGCAGGGATTCTATTTTGGGAACCAGAAAAAGGACAGTTTCAATGTCTCTCAGATGCTTATTTCTCCTAACTCAAGGTCCAAGGAGGGAAGCAAAGTCTTAACAATACCCTCTGCAAAGCTGAGTGATACCTTTCTTATACAAAATAGGTCAGGAACAGGAAAAAGCATTAGCTGCTCTGATTTTAATGTAATCAGATTTTTAAAATACCTAACAGTTTTTCCCTGGGCTCTAAAAGGAGCCTGTTATGGAAAACTCCTATTAGGTTTTCACTTTTTCTTAAAAAAAAAAAAAAAAAAAAGCAATGCTACAAAATAAAATATTGCACTAACAATGGAGCTCCTTTCCTCCTTTCTGCTTTTATTTTCCAAATGTTCTTTAATAAGGATGTATCATTTTCATAGGAAAGAAATTATAAGAGCCAGAAAAAAATAGTGCAAATGAAGCAAACAGTTACCAATTTAAATGCCTAACCTTTTACCTGTCCATATCCATCACTCAGCTTGTAAACCCCAGAATTACAGGGACTTTACCTGCTTTACTCACAGCTGTTCTCCAAGCCCCTAACTTGATACTGGGCCTGTAGTAGAAATAAAAGCTGAATGGATGCACCTTCATCCAAATCAGGAATGTGCTCATTTTAAGTCTCATTAACTACTAAGGTTATGTATATATGTCTTTGGCTGCCAGGCTTGAACAGTAAATGGCCCAAATATGTGCACCCCAACCTCCTATTTGCATTCCTCACAGCATCTGGGTTTAATCAAGTGCAATAAGGTCTGCTGACATGGAACTGAGGTGTGATCTGGAGTTACATTCCTTCAAACCAGAATTCTTCTGACTTCCTCGCCCCATATCCCAATTTGTGGTGGCACACAGCTGAGAGCTAAGTCCCCCTTCTTTGCCTTCCCCTAGCTCAGGCCAAGGTACCAAGAGGATCCTTACCTGCCCCACCCCCATCAGAGGCTGTTACCACTCCCCTTGGAAGTCAGAGAATATTCTCACTATGTGAGAATTTCTATAACAAATATAGTACAAAATAACTAAATGAGGGATACAGGTGTGACTTTTTAACCAAAGCTTAATCTCAACTATTAATTTACTTGAAAAGAATAGACTTCACATAGTCTGTCAAAAAAGGTCACATAAATCATTGTCTAGCACCTTTTCGCTCTACAGCAATACTGTCCCATAGAGCTGTCTGCAATAAAGCAAATGTTCCAAATCTGTGCTACCCAGTAAAGGGGCCACTAGTCACATGCAGCCACTGAGCATTTGAAATGTAGCAATTCAATTAAGAAACTCAATGTTAAATGTCATTTCATTTTATTTTAAATTTAAATAGCCACGGTGGCTAGTGGCTACCCTACAGGACAGTGCACACACAGAGAAAATGACAGTTCCAACTTCAAAAGCAGCCAGCCACAGAAGCGCAAGGATGGATGATATAAAAAGTGGGAGGCTGGTTCCCAGAATAGTGTGTTAGAGAGAGATTTGGGCAAGGTTAAACTTTCTGCTTAGCATTCAGGAAGAATTTTTAGAGAAAGTTTTAGCTATTTTTACAATGAGTTCAGAGGTTGTGGCGAAGTCTATCTCCTGCTCCTTAGCCTACCAAAAAAAACCTCAATTATTGAAAGCCTTGTTATTTCAGTAGACAAGGAGTAATTAAAATTTAGTTTCAAGCCCACAAATACCAATCCAGTTAAGACAGTATGAAACATTGTAAACAAAAAATAAATGACAATGACTGGAGAAAGTTTGAAAATGACTTTGTTTGGGGCCTCCCTGGTGGCATAAGGGATTAAGTCACACTATGAAGCTATCCACAGTCACTGTGGCATGAGTTCGATGCCCAGCCAGGGAGGTGAACACATGGCGCAGCAGACCTCTCCTGTCTCACCCGCTGCTCCCCTCAGCAGTGTCTTTGGTCCTCTGCCTGTTCTGTTCACGCGCTGTCTCTGGTGGATCCCCCCCTCGTCTGGCCTGCACCCCAGCTCTTGTATGCATAAATACATAAATATTTAAAAAAAAAAAAAGAAAATTACTTTGTTGCCAGGAATGGTTCTCCTAACAATAAAAGATTAACTCTGAGTTTTACAGAGGCTCAGCCTTTCTAATAGTGCTTACCATAAAAAAAACATCAGTTCCTCTTTTCTGGATTCCTTGGTTTCAAAGCTTGCATCATACAAAGCATAGCGACAATCCTTTTCAGGAAGCATTCCCACAAAATGCTTGAAAGGATCAGTTATGGTTACACCAACATCTCCAACCAAGATCTCTTTGCCTTCTTCTACAATGATGCACTTTTTGTCTGCGCTGAGACAAAAAATGACAGCCTTCTTTCTTTTCTTGATTTCTTCTGGTGTGGAGCATTTCCTAACTTTCATGTCATAAAAAATGCGACATACTTCATCAGCAACTTGCACTCCTGAGGCCTGTAACAACAAATACAACAGAAAAAGGATTAGTTTTTGTCAAACATAAAACACTTTTAGTTATAGATTGGCATATACTTAAATAGATTGGCATACACTTAAAATGTTAAAGATTTACTTATCATTCAGTAAGAAAACCGTCACTAATGCAGACAATGAACTATTAAAAATACTTAACCCACACACACACACGCACACCACTACTATATGGGAATACAGAAAGATTCCGATGCAGCAGCCTCTGTGACCCTAAAACCTGGAACCCAGAAGTGCTTCCGGAGTTGCTGGATTATTTTCATTTTTTATATGCTGCTTAGAGTCCTGGGAGTGGGGGGAAGTGTAGTGATCTCCCTCGTTTGGCAACTGATACCCATAATTCTTTTCATAATGTATGAAAGATGGTCAGAGTGTCTGGGTTGGGAGAATTCCACCCCATAGCATATCTTTTCCTAATAAAAGAATTAATTAAGGGCCTTTGTTCTTACTCAAAATTTAAAATTATGTTATTAATATTCAGTAACTTATCTGTCACGTACCTTTAAAATTTTACTTTTAAACTCTCCCAGTTTTCAATTAAGATTACAATAATGTTTATTGCTGTATCAAAGAGGATAGCTTACTATAGAATTATACAGACCAGAAAATAAACCTTTTACCATATTATACTAAGATCCTGACAGCAAACAATCTAACACCTGTTTAAGTCTTTTAATCTTCTCTAAGGAATGAGCTATTTACATTAACTTTTTTATATTTATAATTTATGTTCATTTACTATTCTGGTTTGATATTAGGAAAGAATTACAAACAACACAATTGAAGTACTATACAATGAAAAAACAATAATGGCACTCAAGATTAATGTCAAGTGATCTGATTAAGAAATCAAAATGCATGGAAGATGAAAAGAGGAGAAAATATTTACAAATACTATCTCCAATAAGGAACTTGTATCCAGAATATCTAAAGAACCTTTAAAATTCAACAATAAAAAAGACCATCCAAGTTTTAATTTTTTATTTTTTTTTAAGATTTATTTATTTATTTATTCATTCATAAAAGCACTGGGTACAGTCAGAAGCGCGGGAAGGTGAAAGCATCCATCCACCAGAGCCAGCGAGGGGAGCAGAACAGGCAGAAGGACGGAAGTACACTGCTGAGGGGAGCAGCGGGCATGGCAAGAGAGGTCTGCGCGCCATGTGGGACCCTCACCAGTGGCAGGGGATTGAACCGGTGCTGCAGAGGCTGTGGAAGCTTCGCAGCCCAGTGCTCAACCGCTGCGCCACCAGGGGAGGCCCCAATCCAAGTTTTAAATGGGCCAAGTATGAGTGGGCATGTAAACTGGCACAACCATTTAAAAAAACTTAAATTGGAAATACCCAGCAATCCCCCTGGGCACTTAGCCACAGAATAAGGAACCATCAACACAAAATCATAGACACAATGGTCACAGCGGCATTATTCACAACAGCCTGGACATGGAAGCAGCTTAAATGTCCATGGATGGAGGACTAGACCAGGAAGCTGTGGTCTATATACAACATGCAGTATTATACAGCCAGAAGAAAAGATGAAGTGCAGCCATTTTCAACAAAATGGAAAGAATGCGAGAGACTTATGGGCAGCAAAGTAAGTCAAGTAAGAAAGATAAAAACAAATACTGGACATTTACAGTGCACAGAATGTAAATTATTTTTAAAAACCAGTAGACATCAATAAACATCCTGAGGGCTCTGAGGTTGAGGGAGGGAGAGGGAGTGTGACAATGAGATGTAAGGATGGTGGCAGGGGAAAAATAAACATCTTAAAGATACTAGTAAAAAATTGTTTTAAAAAGGAAGTGGAACTGCCCAATCGGGGGGAAAAAAATAGTAGCAGCAGCAGAATTAGTACTAGTAACACTAACAGTAGCGGTGACATCCACAGTAGTAATGACACCAGTAGCAATAGTAACAGTTCCAGTAGTAGTGGTACTAGTATAGTAGCAGTATTAGAGCTTTGAGATGGGAGGGAGCCTAAAAATAATGAACGTGGGCACAAGATTTAAATAGACATTTCTCCAAAGAGAATATATAATTGGCCAATAAGCACTTGGAAAGGGTTAGTCACTAGGAAAGTACATACTGAAACCTCAATGAGCTATCTCAAACAGACTAGAAGAGCCATAAAAAAAGAAAACAGTAACAAATATTAAGTGAGGTTGCTGAGAAACAGGAATCCTTATACATTGGTAATAGGATAGCTGCTTCAGGAGACAGTCTGGCAGTTCCTCAAAACATTAAAGGATGGAATTAACATTTATGTGGGTCAAAGCCACTCTTATATACACAAGATAGAGGAAAACATGTGGCCATATCAAAACTTGTAAATGAATTTATAATAGTCAAAAAATACAAAGTACCCAAAGGTTTATCACCTGATGACTAGATAAACAAAATGTGGTGTAGCCATACATTGGAACATTATTCAGTCATAAAAAAGAGGTGCTGGATACGTGCTACAATACTGATGAATCTTGGAAAACACTTAAGCTAAGTGAAAGAAGTCAGACATAAAAGGTCACATATGATATGTTCTATCAGATGTTCAAAATAGGCAAAGTGATAGATTAGTGGTTTCCAGGGATTAAGGGGAAGAGGGAAATGGAGAGCGATTACTAATGGATTTTGGAGCAATAAATGTTCTGGAATTTTAAAGTGGTGATGGATACACAAGTCTGCATACACTGAAAACCACTGAATTGTACTCTATGTAATGTGAATTAAGTAACAATAAAGCTGTTACTTTAAAATGTATGAAAGAATTCTGGGAGTTAAAATATGCTAAGAACCTAGGATTTACTCAATATTAAGGTAATTGGGCCATTTAATCATATCCTTCATTAACAAAACTCTAAGCATATTACTCTTCAATCTCATCTAATCTAATCCACATCTAATCACAACCCATTTAGATCCTATTTAATCTAATCTATACTTCCTGTTTATAAATGAACTTTGAACTTTAAAGTGGTAGACATAGCAAAGACTAGAAAACAACCTCTGATACTACACTCTTAACACTTTTAATAAGCACTTTTCTTAACCTTTTACCGTTTCAAGAGTCCTAATCTTCATAATTTATGGTAAGCAAGTTGAGAATCTTTGTTTTTTTTTTTCATTAATTTAAAAGGAAACCTGCACTCCTGTTTACTGCAGCACTACTTACAATAGCTAAGCTATGGAAATAACCCTAAATGCCCAAAAACATATGAGTGGTTCAAGAAGATGTGGTATATATACATAATGGAATACTACTCAGCAATCAAAAAAGATAAAACTCATACCCGTTGCAGCAACATGGATGGAACGCAAAGGAATTATGCTTAGTGAAATAAGACAGAAGGAAAAGGAAAAATGTCAGATGGTTTCACTTACAGGAGGGATATACAGAAACTGAACAAAGGGTCAAAAAAAAAAAAAAGACAAAACTTGCAGGCAAACTATAGATCTGAGGCATACAGCAGGGGAGGGGAAGGGTGAGGGGTCAAAATGGGAGGGAGGGGCATAAGGACTCTATGATGACAGTTCACAGGTGATGTGGTGGTGGGAGATTTATGGGGACTACACCTGAGGGAAGAAATCAAACATTGTACAAAAATGAAAAACACTATAAGAAAATTATAAAGTTTAATCAATTTTTAAAAAAGGAATTTTTTTGAACAGAGATAAAATATTCAAAGTAGCCAAAATTAATGGAAAATTAGAAACAGACCCCAATTCCTCTAACTCCTTAAATTCATAATGTTGACTTTTAAGTAACATTTGACCAACCAATCTGTAAAACCAAGAAAGCAGCATCTGAAGACCTATATCCAACCATCAATACTTGAATGTATCTGCCAATTATCTACATGAACTATCTCAAAACACTCTACATTCTACCTGGAAATTAATTAAGGTAACCATGCGGCAGTAATGGAAACCAGAAAGTGAATGTGTATTCTGCAATTATAATACAACCAAAACTAAGCAAAATGTAGGTGTAATTTATAGGCACATTAGCCTCAGTAAGGAGGAGTTTGGGCTCTTTTCTATTAAAAAAAAGGGGGTCTATGAAGGTTTCTGATAAGGTCAACACTATAGACACTTGCGTATAAAGAAATTAACACTGAAGACTGTGAAGTAGAAACTGACAAAGAACTTGGAAACAGGACGGCCAATTCTAAGGCAAAGACAAACGTCCAGAGGAGAAAGTTCTGAACTAAGGCAGTGGAGTTGAAAACAGAAATCCAAGAACATTTCACAGTGGAATCAATAAAGATGACTGAAACATGAATAAACTACACCAAAGTTGACCTAGGATTCTGTAGACTGTTGACTGGAAAAATTGCGATGTATAAACAAGAGGAGTAGGAACGACACAGTCTTGACATGTTCATTTTGAAGAATGTGTTAAGACATCAAGGTGGACACGACATGCCAGCAACTGAAAAACATGGCATGGATCTAATAGGAAGGCTGCACCTAACAGATATTTTGGGCTACATGGGGGCATCCATGGGAACACCAATATAAGGTACCAAAAGACAAACAGGTCAAGGGGACTAAGCAGAAATGAATGATTAGAATGCTAGGAGGAGAAGGAAAGAAGGGAGAATATTTGGAGGTGAGAAGTTATTATCACTAAACACTGCAAAGATGGTGAATGACTGAACACAGACCACTGGGCGTGGCAGCTAGGTCTTTGAGCATTCAGGGGGCTGGAGGAATGTAGCAGAAGTCCAGGGTGATGGAAAAGGATCCACAGGCAATTGAGCTAAATATGAAAACACAGGATGATTAATGGTGAGGAAGAAAGAAAGAGTACTAACTTCATGCAAGTTGTCTTATGACTGGGGAAACTTTACCACACAACTTTTGAAGGAACAAGAGAAGGAAAACCAAAACGTTATAGGAAAAAAAACCAACCAACCTAATATTGAATACTTACTAACACCAAACACCTCTAATATGATAGCT